TAAGTATTATTAAATACCTACCACACCTGTGTGTGAACAGAAGCTGTTCACCAAATTATTCTGCTAACTGATTTGAGAAGGCAGTTTGAGGGTCTTAACAGAAATGTAGGATATCATAAGAATTGGGACCTCTACCTGAAGTGTGCAAAGTGCAATGAAGAAGATAAGTTAACTCTACAGTTTCAAAAAATTACATTTCTAAAATAAGCATTTTTGCTTTACAAAGCAGAAATTTGTAGGTGCTATCAAATTTAATTTTAAATGCTATAAAAGCCTTCATAAATTTATTCTATTCTTTTTTTTTTTTTTTTTGACAGGCAGAGTGGACAGTGAGAGAGAGAGAGAGAGAGAGAGAAAGGTCTTCCTTTGCCGTTGGTTCACCCTCCAATGGCCGCCGTGGCCAGCGCGCTGCGGCCGGCGCACCGCGCTGATCCGATGGCAGGAGCCAGGAGCCAGGTGCTTTTCCTGGTCTCCCATGGGGTGCAGGGCCCAAGCACCTGGGCCATCCTCCACTGCACTCCCTGGCCACAGCAGAGAGCTGGCCTGGAAGAGGGGCAACCGGGACAGAATCCAGCGCCCCGACCGGGACTAGAACCCGGTGTGCCGGCGCCGCTAGGCGGAGGATTAGCCTAGTGAGCCGCGGCGCCGGCCAAATTTATTCTATTCTTAAATAAATACATTACACTTAGAAAAAAGCAATTAGAATCTAGGAACCAAGTGTACACAGTAGAGGTGCTCATTTATAGATAAAGTTATTCTATGACAATCAAGATAGCCTATACACACATCTTGAGAGTCATCTCTCAAATGCTTACATTTCATACACATTGTCAATATGTTAAATGACATGGTGGAACTTGTTCCTCTAGAAAGAGGACCTCTAAAACACTAGTATTTCTCTAGATTTAAGATGCCTATACCATTAGATGATTCAAGGAATTGGAGGTTTAATTGAGTTCCCAAAAATTTAAGCCATTAAGAAAAGGCCAACGTTGTGGTATAGTTGGTCAAGCTGCCGCATGTGATGCTGGCATCCCATATGGGTGCTGGTTCTAGAACCGGCTGCTCCTCTTCCAATCCAGCTCCCTACGAATGCACCTGGGAAAGCAGTGGAAGATGGCCCACATGCTTGGGTCCTTGTATCCATGTGGGAGACCTGGAAGAATCTCCTGACTCCTGGCTACAGCCTGGCCCAGCTCTGGTTGATGTGGCTATTTAGGGAGTGAACCAGCAGATGGAAGACCTTTCTCTGTCTCATTCACCCTCTCTCTCTAACTCTGCCTTTCAAATAAAGTAAAAATAAATCTTTAAAAAAAAAGACCTTGAAAAATGCATATGTCTGCCTTTATCCATCCACACAAAAGGACATATCCTTTTATAGGAATTATGCTAAGAAGGGCCCAGTAGGTTATTTTATACATTCAGAGTAAGTGCTATAAGTGAATATATGAGTATATGAGGAGTCTTTAAAACGTTCACAGAAAATGTTTATTATGAAAAAAATTAGATGTGGAGTTCAAAATTTATGTGTACCATAATAAACTATCTTTTCATTTCATTTTCTATGAACTTTTAAAGTACTCCTGTACGGGCAGAGGTTATAAAATTCCACTATGGAAGGTAACTTGTAGCCCTGAAGTAAAATAAAAAATTGTCAGTTTTCAAAATACTTATGCTGCTTACTAAGGAAGTTTATTTTGGATCACGGTTTTGGATGTTCACAGTCCAAGATCAGGCAGGCCCTGCTGGTTTGGTATCTGATGAGGCTGACGTATGGCGAAGAGGAAGCAGGTGCAGAGGAACCATCACAGAGTGATCCAGGAAGCAGAACAAGCAGCTGGGCCCGACTCAGATTTTTATAACTAAACCTCTCCTAAGAACAGCCTTCTGAGGGCTCGCCCCCAGTGGCCTAAGGTCCTCTCACTAGGCCCCACTCCTAAACACCATAATTGGATTTAGTTTCCATCCTCTTAGTATCATTAGTTTATGACTTTGGGGTTTAAATAACTGTATGAATTCAGCAGCCACATCTTTTTCAAACCATAGCACCAGTTCATACCTTGAGTTGTTCTGAAACTCCAAAGTGAATCAATTACTTGTTAAATTTGTGTATGTCTGTTTCTATAACATACACTTCTTTCCAACAACTGGAAATTCCCAACACACAGTCACATAGTAATAAATGATAAATATTTGCTTTCTTGTTTCAGTAGTGATCATGAGATGGGCATGAATTAATGAAAGAGAATGAGAAGATGCATTAGTTGTGGCCCCAAGTTTACTGCTTTTGACATCTGTGTCTTTCTTTCCCATTCAGACGCTTACCACTTACCCCATCACGACTTTGTGCAGTGCTCCCACTGTGTATCGGATGCTTGTGCAGAAGGACCTGAAGAGGTACTTGGGCAGAAATCTCCATTTGCACCACACACAAAAGCCATCATTCGGCATCACAGCCCTCCCCCTTTCAGCACAGGACAGATCTTCCCAATCTCATCATAATTGTCACTTTGGATTGAATAATTCTGTGTCATGTGGAGCTCTCCAGTGCATTGAGTAGAGGATACGTGAGTGCATCTCTAGCCTTTACCTCCTAGATGCCAGTGTGTCTCCCCTGATTTGGGACAATCAGAGATGTCCTTCGACATTGCCCAGTGTCTCTGGGAGGTGGGACAAAATTATCCTTCAGCTTAAGAACCACTGGGATAGCTTCCAGGGGGCAACTGGACATTTTTCTAGGACAACCTAAATCCTACAGTCTCATTCAAAGAAGTTTGTCCACTACTACCACCCTTTTAGAAATATGGTAATTTAGAAACAGCCCAAACAAAACAAAAACATAAAATAAATAGATTTATACTTCTTTGAATAAAAACTAATGAAGGTTATATTCAATTTATCCAAATTACCCAAACATCCAATAGCTGCAATGTATATTTATTAAACTAATTCAAATGGTATACATGGAGGAAAGGAGAAAGGAAGAGAGAAACCATGTGAGTAGTGCAGACCTGTCTACCCTCTGCCCCACCAAAGTGTGGATGCCCAGGAGGGAAGTGCTGTGGTTAGAATAAATCAGGTGTGAGTCATCTCTTCTCTTAGTCAGTGTCAGCTCCCTTGTAGCCCTCAAAATATGATCTTCACATTTCAAGGGCAATTGCAGGAGCTCTTTACGGATTAGTTGGAACATGCATGATTCCTGTCTTACCCACACCTTCCACTCACTGGAACTTCACCGTAGGAGAACTGGGCTGTCTCAGGCTTTCTCAGCTGAGTCCAGTAAGGCCAATGGTTAAAAGATCACGCTCAGGGAGTTGATGTTGTGGTGCAGGGGTAAGGCTGCCGCCTGAGATGCTGGCATCCTCTATGGGTACCAGTTCACGTCCTAGCTACTCTACTTCCAATCCAGTGCCCTTCTAATGGCTGGGGAAAAGCAGCAGAGGATGGCCCAGATATTTGGATCCCAGGGAGATCTGGAGGAAGTTCCAGGCTCCTGGCTTCACTCTGGCCTAACCCTAGCTGTTGTGGCCATCTGGGGAGTGAATCAGCGAATGGAAGACCTCCCTCTCTCCATCCTTCTTTCTGTAACTCTGCCTTTCGAATAAATAATAAATAAAATGTAAAAAAAAAAAAAAAAACACACACAAAAACAAAAGACCAAGCTCAAAGTCAATCATGTAAGGCTCTGCTCTTTCCTAAAAGTGTGACCTCAGACACTCAAGATGACCTTGCTCAGCCTCAGTCAACTTCACCCATAGGAGGAGATTAAGAACCACCTCAGAGGCATGGTGACACCAGACTATGAGTAGTAATGGAGAGCACAGAATATCCAAACCACCCCTTTATAATTGGAGGGTCTGGGGGAAGTTCTTTAACCTGTCTGAGCTACAGTTTCCTTATCTGTAAAACAGAGGTTGAGGGGATGCTAAGAGCTCTCCTGAAACTGTCTCACCACAGCACCTGCTCAGCTGTATCATTTGTTGTATCATTTGTCTAATAAATACTCAATGATACATAAAATTCCATTAGTATTTTTCCACCTTTTTCCTTAACAGCTAAATTCTCCACCTGCTAAGATTTAAGCTCCTTCAGAAATCATTGTTTCAATCACTAATATGCCTATGTGCCCAGAACAATGTCTGGCAATATAGTTAAGGGTCCAACAAATATTCACTGAATGAACTTTCCTAAGACTTGCCTCTCCTAGTTCCTTGGCTTCTTGCTTGAATGTCCTAATTATCTTGCAGTTAATGCTACTTGGGTTTTTTTTCCCCAAAGACCAAATGCAATTCTCTCTCTCCAGATATAAATTCAAGAAGTTACAGCACTGCTTGACCGGAGGAGAGCCACTCAATCCAGAGGTGCTGGAACAGTGGAAGGCACAAACTGGGCTGGAGCTGTACGAGGGCTACGGACAGACAGAAGTGGTATTATTTCAAGAGCAACGTTGGACATACTGGGAGCTGTTCAGCCCTGTGACTGTCAACTGAGCTCTTAAAGTGCCCTAATCATGCTCTAGTTTCCCAGAATACTTTACCTTGTCAGTTGTTAGCAAAACCTGTGAATTGCTCAGTTGGGTTTGGCTGAAGGCTGTGATTATTTCACACAGTCTCTCTGCCCCCTCTCCATTAAGGAGAAATTTCAGGGGTCTTAGGGGTTGGTGAAGGTCATAACTGTCCTGGAAAGGACCCCCCTGTGTGCCTCCATGGGGAATCTATTCCAAGATGTGCTTAATGGAGTCTAAAGTGGTTTTCAAAAGTGTGGTCCTCACACCAGCAGAATCAGCATCATCTGGGGTTTTGGTAGAAATGCACATTCCTGGGGCTGGCAATGTAGCATAGTGAGGAAAGCCACTGCCCATGACACTGGCATCCCATATGGGTGCTGCTTTGAGTACCGGCTGCTCCATTTCTGATCCAGCTCCCTGCTAACGGCCTGAGAAAAGCAGCAGAAGATGGCCCAAGAGTTTGGGCCCCTGTCACCTACATGGGAGATATGGAGGATGCTCCTGGCTTTGGCCTGAGCCAGCACTGACCATTGTGGCCTTCTGGGGAATGAACCAGCAGATAGAAAATCTTTCTCTCTCTGTGCCTCCTAACTCTGACTTTAAAAATAACGAAATAAATGTTTTTTAAAAGATACGCAAATTCCTAGACCCCCATCCTACTCCCACTAAATCAGAAACTCCCGGTGATTGTGATGTACATTCAAAGTTAAGAACTAGTGGCCACCCCTGTGTGACCTCATGCCCCTGCCTGGCCACACCTGGGTGCCCACTGGCCAATCAGGTTAATTAACCACTCCCCTTTGGAAGTGGGTTAAAAGCCTGGGACATGGTGTGTCCCACCCTTCTCTTCTTGGCCCTGGCTTCTTGCCAGGAGAGGGCTGGCTGTAGCCCTGCGCCTCCAGGGCACGTGGCCTTTGGGCCACCCGCCCTAGGCTTCCTGGCCTAGATGCTCCTCCACGTGGCTGGTTCCTGGTGCTCGGTATGAACCCAGATTTACCTCTCTCTCTTAGATAAAGCTCTCACTCCCTTATGATTTAACTCACTGAATAAAAGCCTAAAATGTAAAAAAAAAAAAAAAAAAAAAAAAGGACTAGTGGCCTAAAACCACATTTCAGAAGATGAGCTGCACATTGGGAAAATGATCCAGATCTGAATCTTAAGTCTCATTGTCATAATATAAATATCTACAGAAAATGAATTTTTACACACGTATATATAAAACATGTCTTCTCAATAGGGAATAATTTGTGCCAATCAGAAGGGACAAGAAATTAAACCAGGCTCAATGGGGAAAGGAGTGCTGCCCTATGATGTCCAGGTGGGTTGAGAAAATGTCTCACTGGCCCACAAAAGAAGGTTTTGCAGTTTTCTGCTACTTGCTACACAACTATTCGTAACCCATTCCCATTTTGTGTAAAGAACATTTTAATAACCCGAACTGTTTCTTTCATTCTAGATTATAGATGAAAATGGCAGTGTCCTACCACCTGGCAAGGAGGGGGAAATTGCCCTCAGAGTCAAGTCCACACGGCCCTTCTGTTTCTTCTCTGAATACGTGGTATGAGCCTGTGGATAGTGCTATCACACTTTAATACAGACATGAGTTTCACATTTCATTTCCACCATATCCTGCTATATAACCCTGGGCAAGTAACAAATTCCAAGTCTATTTCCTCGGCTGTAAAATGGGGAGAGTACCACCTGAGAGTACTGCAAAGATGACAGTCCATGCCTAAGAAAACAGGTTCGGCGCTTGTCCTCACAAGGAAAACTGGGAAGGCTGAGGCCTGGGGAGGATTTGGGGGCATTGGAGGCAGAAGGGTTTACTTCTTACTATACCCTTTTAGACCTTTTGTATTTTGTAGGAGGAATTATCTTTTTTGAAAAAAACTTAATTTCCTTTAGAAGTACAATGTGTAAAGCACTAGTCACTTAATGGGTATCATACCCCTATCTCTGTTGTATCCAAACTAATCCCCAAATACCATCTCTGATGACTAGGACAATCCAGAGAAGACTGCTGCCACAATCAGAGGACACTTCTATGTCACTGGAGACAGAGGAGTAATGGACACTGATGGGTACTTCTGGTTTGTCGGCAGAGCAGATGATGTCATCATATCCTCTGGGTTTGCACATCTGCCACTCTTAGAAAGGCCCAAGTTGTCAGAGAAGGAGATCTCCTCCTCGGGGGGACAGTGCTCAAAGCTTTCTTTTCCCGCTCAGGTACCGTATCGGGCCATTTGAGGTGGAGAGTGCACTCATCGAGCACCCGGCAGTGGTTGAATCGGCTGTTGTCAGTAGTCCAGATCCAATCCGGGGAGAGGTAGAGTGAATGCCACTGATTAAAGTAGCAATTGCATATTTTTAAGTTCTATCCATTTACCCATGTTCAACATCACATCAAGATTAATCATTTAATTCTCATTAATGAGGCACAGATATGGCAAAAAAAAAAAAATGTATCCTATGCAATCAACTTAGCAAATGAATTCTGTCCCGTAAGGGGTATATTAGGATTTTTCAGTGGTGAGTGGCAAAAACTCAACCATCAACTCATTTAATTCAAAAGAAAAAAATGCTTTTGTTCATATTAGTAAGAGGTATTCAGGTACAGCTACATCCGAGGGTTCATGTGAAGTTGGCAAGAGTTAGTTTCTCCTCGTTTTGCTCTGCTATTTGTTATGTTGGCTCCATTTGAGCCTGTTCTTTCTACTTGACAGCAACCAATTCCAGACTTACACAGCTCGGCAACCTTCCCCGCCCCTCTAGGAAAACAGCAAGCTTTCTTTCCAATCATTTCACACAAATCTTAGGATCCCCTTTGGCTATCTTAGATCACATCTCCAGCCAACATGATCCGAGGAACGGTATGCCCACTGGCCAGACTTCCTTTCCCCGTGAAAGTTTCCTACAGACTCAGCAAGTGGCAAGATGTCAAAACAGCACATCTAAAATCCTCCTTTCACACATTTCTTTCTGTATCTCCCTCTCACAGACCGGTAAGCCACTGCGGTGACACTACGGATACCATACTATCACCTCCTATATACTCTCTCTCTTTTTTTTTTTTTTTTTTTTTTTAACAGGTAGAGTGGACAGGGAGAGAGAGAGACAGAGAGAAAGGTCTTCCTTTGCCATTGGTTCACCCTCCAATGGCCACTGCGGCCGGCGCATCGAGCTGATCCGAAGGCAGGAGCCAGGTGCTTCTCCTGGTCTCCCATGGGGTGCAGGGCCCAAGTACCTGGGCCATCCTCCACTGCACTCCCTGGCCACAGCAGAGAGCTGGCCTGGAAGAGGGGCAACCGGGACAGAATCCGGTCCCCTGACCAGGACTAGAACCTGGTGTGCTGGCGCCGCAAGGCAGAGGATTAGCCTAGTGAGCCGCGGCGCCGGCCAGTCCTATATACTCTCAACTCTTGATCTATTCCATGCTCCAAAGTATTTTCCTCTTGCTACCATATTCTCATTCTCTTAATATAATTGATTGAAACTGATCAGCTGAAGTAAGCACCAACTGGAATTGATGTACGAATAATAATATATAGTAAGCTTAGTTATCTCAAACACTAGGTAACTGCTGAGTTTTAAACAGCATTACAGAGAAAAACAAAAACTACAAGGCCACAATGCTCCTAAATGTGTACATATGAAATACCTGAAATGTGGTCCTTGTATATAAATGCAAAAATTATTTTTAAAAATACAAGAAAAGAAAGCCCTTTTAGAGATCAGTCAGTCTTTCCTGATACAGTATCCTTCCCAGATTAGGCCTCCCCAAATGCCCTTCAAATCCTATACTCTAGAGCCTCCGTTTATCCCACTACGGTACGCTTCCAGCAATGAGGATTTGACAGAGTAAATTCAGGACTATAAATTCAGGACTGCCTTTCCTGTATAATAAATAGGACCAGTATGACTGAAATGGTAAATACATGCATGACATTAAAATAGAACATGGCAGTTAGCTGTATGAACTGCACTCCTTACACTCACATAACATTCATCTCTATTAGATCTCAAAAATCTCACTTTATCATTATATCTGAGTTTCATTCGTAGGTGATGTCTGGTATTTGCAAGTCATCATTCAAGGTATTAAAAAGTAGTTAGTACCTGTGTTCCACATTGGTTCCAAAACCCTTCACGTGAGCCGGCACCGCAGCTCACTAGGCTAATCCTCCGCCTTGTGGCGCCGGCACACCGGGTTCTAGTCCCCGTCAGGGCGCCAGATTCTGTCCCGGTTGCTCCCCTTCCAGTCCAGCTCTCTGCTGTGGCCAGGGAGTGCAGTGGAGGATGGCCCAAGTGCTTGGGCCCTGCACCCCATGGGAGGCCAGGATCAGCACCTGGCTCCTGCCTTCGGATCAGCGTGGTGCTCCGGCCACAGTGCACTGGCCGCGGCGGCCATTGGAGGGTGAACCAACGGCAAAAGGAAGACCTTTCTCTCTGTCTGTCTCTCTCACTGTCCACTCTGCCTGTCAAAACAAACAAACAAACAAACAAACAAAAACAAAAAACAACAACAAAAAACTTCATGTGTCTGAAAAACAAAGACAGTAACATAAATTGACTTTCCTGTTGCAGGTGGTGAAAGCTTTTGTTGTCTTATCAGCACCCTTTAAATCCTCCAATCTAGAGGAATTAACCCTTGAGCTTCAGGATCATGTTAAAAAATCAACAGCACCTTACAAATATCCAAGAAAGGTAAGTGGTCCAAAAGTTAAGTTTGTGTTACTAAACTATTATGCTAATATGAGGGGACTTCCAAATGTTCACAGAGAAGTGGAATTAAAAGATTTTTAAAAATAATGTAAACTATTTTTCAACATAGGTTCCATAAAGATAGATTTTTTGTAAGCAATGATACCAGCCATTTAGTCCATCCCTAATGAACTGAGGGTCCTGGTAATCTGTCAGTGCAGTCTTTTTTTTTTTTTTTCCATTACTAACTGAAGAAAAACGGGTGCCTTTAAAGATGTTTTTAAGATTAGGAAACAAAAAGAAGTCAGAAGGCACTAAATCAGGACTCTAAAGTGGCTGCCTGATTATTCCCCTCTAACTCTCACAAGATGCCCTCGTTTGATGAGAGGAATGAGCAGGGGCATTGTGTGGTTGAGGACTTTCTGGTGAAGATTCCTGAGGCAGTTTTCTGCTAAAGCTTTGGCTAACTTTTTCAAAATCCTCTCCTAATAGGTAGATTTTTTTCCCTTTGGCCCTACAAAACGACAACAAAATTTCTGAACATCCCCAAAAACTACTGCTATGACCTTTGCTTTGGACCAGTATGCATTTGCTTTGACTGGACCACTTCTACCTCTTGGTAGCCATTACTTGGATTGTGCTTTGTCTTCAGGATCATACTGTAAATGTTTAATTTCCTGCCACAACTCTTTTTTTTTAAAATGCTTTTAATTTGAAAGTGAGAGTTAGGGAGAGGGAAAGAGACACACAGAGAGATCTTCCATCCATTGGTTCACTCAACAGACAGCTGCAATGGCCCAAGCTGGGCTAGGCTAAATCAGGAGGCAGGAGCTTCACTGGGGTCTCCCACGTGGGTGGCAGTGGCCCAAACACTCAGGCCATCCTCCACTGCTTTCCCAGGCCATTAGCAGGAAGCTGGATCAGATGTGGAGGAGCTGGGACATGAACTGGTGCCTTTAGGGGATGCTGGTGTCGCAGGTGGCAGCTTTATCCACTACACCACAATGCCAGTCCCTCCTGTCACAATTCTTAAAGAACTGCTTCAGGATCATGACCCTGCTTGTTGAAAACTTTCATTGAAAGCTCTTCTGTTGTCTGCCACTGATCTGGGCACAGTTTTGATATCCATTGAGCTATTGGCTATTATTTTTGTGAACTGTCTGCCCTATTCAATTAGGGCAGGAACAAGATTTTTTTTTTTTCCTCTCAAATTGATGTAGATGGTCTGCCCCCAAAGGCTTTATCTTCAACATCATCACTTTTTTTTTAAAGATTTATTTGAGAGGAAAGAGGGAGAGAGAGGGAGAGGAGGAGAGGGAATCTTCCATCCACTGGTTCACTCCCCAAGTGGCTGCAATGACCAGGGATGGGCCAGGCCAAAGCCAGGAGCCAGGAGCTTCATCTAGGTCTCCCAAATGGGTGCAGAGCCCCAAGCACTTGGGCCATCCTCTGCTGGTTTCCCAGGTGCATTAGCAGGGAGCTGGGACTTTGATCAGAGCCCAAATGGATGCCAGCACCACAAGGGGGTGGCTTCACCCGCTATGTTGCAGCGCTGGCCCCCATTTCATTCATTTTTAAAATGAGTCCTATATTTGTAAACTGATTTCCTTAGGGCATTGTCACCACAAAGTTTCTGTAAGCCATCAATGGTTTTGCCACTCTTCTACCCAAGCTTCACCAACAATGTGATGCTTGTTCTTGCCTCAATTGTAGCTGAACTCATGTTGGTCTGTTATGAGTCCTTTTCAAAATAAATTCTTAGCCTTTTTAATGTCTCAAACTATATACTGTTCAGCAATGTTTTAACAAGTTAGTACCCATTTTTTGGTGCCAAAAAAAAATGAAAATCATGTATAGCTCTTTGGTTACATTCATTTCCTATGAACACTTTGAAGACCCCTCGTATTAGACTTTATTGGGTTTTGAGTTTATAGTAGCATGTTATATAGTTAGAGGCCATCTTTTCAATTTGTTTAGCCCTAAGAATTTTTGTCTTGAAATTTTTTTGTATTAGGACACTATAAATACAGAATATAGATAATATAGAATTCTTAAATCAACTCTGTAATACCCAGTCACTGCAGGACTAATTGGGCCCATTCCATAAGAATTATCTTAGTACTCCTGGCCATAATACCCTTAGAAACTCAAAGCATGTGCCTTTAATAAAGTTCAAGTGACCACACTCAAGGCAGGAAAAAGGTAGTACCCAGAGGAATTGTGGAATCTTTCCTGAAACCATCATAAGATTTAAGAATAATTCTATACAAGACTCAGAGATGGCTCTGCTGTTCCCTTCTAGTGCCAAAATCCTTTTGGTTGATCTCTAGTTGGCATCATTTCATCGAAAAGGTAGTTAATTTCACCTAAGACCTGAGTAATACAACTAAGAACTGGTTTGTTGTTGTTTAAAAATTTATTTATCTATTTGAGAGGAAGAGATATGGAGGGGAGGGACAGAGAGAGGTCTTCCATCCACTGGTTCACTCCCCAAATGGCTACAACAGCTGGGGCTGAGCAGATCCAAAGCCAGGAGCCAGGAGCTTCTTCCAGGTCTTCCATGCAGCTGCAGGGGCCCAAGCACTTGGGGTCATCTTCTGCTTTCCCAGGCCATAGCAGAGAGCTGGCCTGGAAATGGAGCAGCCAGGACTTGAACTGGTGCTTATATGGGATGCTGGCACTGCAGGTGGCAGTTTTACCTGCTAAACCACAGCACTAGCCCCCATAAACTTAGGTTTTCTTTCTTTCTTTCTTTCTTTTTTTTTTTTTTTACAGGCAGAGTCGACAGTGAGAGAGACAGAGAGAAAGGTCTTCCTTTTGCTGTTGGTTCACCCCCCCAATGGCCGCCGTGGCCAGCGCACCGCACTGATCCGAAGGCAGGAGCCAGGTGCTTCTCCTGGTCTCCCATGGGGTGCAGGGCCCAAGCACTTGGGCCATCCTCCACTGCACTCCTGGGCCACAGCAAAGAGCTGGTCTGGAAGAGGGGCAACCGGGACAGAATCCGGCGCCCAACCGGGACTAGAACCCGGTGTGCTGGCGCCGCAAGGCGGAGGATTAGCCTATTGAGCCGCGGCACCGGCCTGAACTGAGGTTTTAACGGTTGAAAAGTTCATTTCTATTTATTGGTTTCAACCATTTTAACACTTTCTCCATTCTTTGAGTCAGTGATCCCTTGGTTTTCAGCAATGTTTGAGGGCATTTTAAAAGACAGCACATTTTACCTACACAGGGGAACAAGGAAGATTTTAAGGTCAAGGCACAGCATGAGAAACATCATATATATTCCAAATTATGCTACAAATTTCCTCCTCAGAACTTGCAAGACCCAGCTCTTAAATTCAAAAGCCAAGAACTTCTTTTTGCCTTTAAATAAAACCTCCATTTTCAAAGGGCCACAGAGGCACTAGGTCTAGTTTGATCCAGGGGAAAGGACTGTGGTAAAGGATTATCTTCTGACAAAGCATATAAGTGACTTTGCAGTGCAAATCCATTTGGTGGTGTTACACTGTCGTCCTTATATATAAACGGACAAGATTCTCATGTCTACAAAGTTCAGTGAGCTTAGGCTAGGACAATCTATAGACTCTCAAAATAGCCTCAGGTTCGTAAAAGCTCTCTCCTACTGTGCTGACAGTTAAGGCAAAATGCAATCAAGAGTCTCATAATGTTTTTCTGTGAATTAGGTGGAATTCGTTCAAGAACTCCCAAAGACAATCACTGGGAAAATCAAACACAACGTTTTTTTTTTTTTTTTCTTTTTTTTTTTTTCTTTGACAGGCAGAGTGGACAGTGAGAGAGAGAGACAGAGAGAAAGGTCTTCCTTTTGCCGTTGGTTCACCCTCCTAAGGCCGCCGCGGCCAGCGCGCTGCGGCCGGCGCACCGCGCTGATCCGATGGCAGGAGCCAGGAGCCAGGTGCTTTTCCTGGTCTCCCATGGGGTGCAGGGCCCAAGCACCTGGGCCATCCTCCACTGCACCCCTTGGCCACAGCAGAGGGCTGGCCTGGAAGAGGGGCAACCGGGACAGAATCCAGCGCCCCGACCGGGACTAGAACCCGGTGTGCCGGCGCCGCTAGGCGGAGGATTAGCCTAGTGAGCCGCGGCGCCGGCCAAACACAACATTTTAAGAGATCAAGAATGGGGAAGAAGATAGCTTGATCAGAAAATGGAAGGATTAAGTAGCAACATGGTTGTTTTCTTTTAATTCAGCGACTACTCTGTTAAAATGTTTAAGATTTCTCCTAGTTGAAAATTCCAGCTTTTGTTCTGTACTTAGCCAAAATATAAAAAGGGAAAAAAACTCTAAAAATACTTGGGAATAAAACTGTTATAATGATGACCAATCCAATGATCAGTAATGTTTAAAATAGTGGGGCTCAAATTATTACTTAGTAATGGACACTGTACATGAATCTTTCATTTGTTTTATAGCTGATTAATTAAAGATAAAATGAATAACTATTCTAAGAGAAATATTTAAGACAGAAATTTTTCTGCTTAACATCTTTGAGACTAAAACTTTAAGCTGGATTAAAATATTAATGTTAAATTAAGGAGTACAGGTAATTCAAAGACCAGGAAGTGAATTTAATGAAATTAAATACTGAATTACTATAACTTGCTTTGAAGCAAATTCACTGAAACTTGGATTATTTCAGAGTATTAATTATAGAAGAATAAATAATACATTTTCTGTATCTGCTTTTTAGAACCATTTACATGACTTCTTTGATAGTCTCACAAGCAAACACTTTTTATAATGATATACAAACACAAGAGATTCACTAAGACACAGAAATAAGAAAAAGTACAGAACACCAGTCTTTAAGGAACAGATTTATTTTTATTTTTCTAAAAATACCAGGAGTTATGAAAAACAAGCTGAATATTTGGCCATACCAAAAGCAAAATACAAGTAAAAATCATGGTTAGCCCTGGAAAAACATGTTTAAAAGACCAAGTTTAACACTGTTTCCTACAAAGAGCAACGCAAGTATACTAAACCAAAACATTTTGTTTTGTTAACTTTTCATCTTTTAAAATAAAAAACTGAACAACAACCAGAAAAAAGCACTCAATTCCTACCCTGGAATCTTGTAATTTACAAAGTAATACACTGAGATGTCAGTGAAAAGAAACAGCTGACAAAGCCAAGAACAATCTCTGAGTGAATAAATTCACACTCCAACAGAATGCAGCGTTCTATTGCTGGGGAAGAACAGCTTGTGTCACACTCAGGTTTCACCAAATATAAATAAATACAAAAGGCAATTAAAAACAAACAATAACGTGAAAATCATTCTGTATACTAGCAGCTTCACAAAGCAAAGGAACCAAGTTCCACAGAGCTGTATGTTGTGTAGGCACATGGCCAATTTTATTCCCAGAGTCCTTTTGTCTTGCACTATCAAAATAAAAAGTATCTGTGTCTCGGAGCCAGGAGCAAGGCCACTGACGAAGGCACCAAAATCCTATCTTCCCTGTTCTTGCAAATGATAGAGTAACTCTTACTAGCATTTGAAGGGGACTGCATCCTCTTCAAGAGTCAACATTGTAAATACCTGGAGATAGTAAGGAAGGTCCTTCCCCATCTGCATTAGCAAGGTGTTACCTGTTCTCTCTGCTCCTCCAAACTCTTCTAGTCTGGTTTACCTAACAGGACCATTAGCTAGGACAGAAACACAGTCCCATGTTCACCAGCCTTTGAATTAACAGTCACTTGTGCAAGAAGCCTTAACATTTCTCCTGCTGCCTAACTTTTTAAAGGACTGAGTTCTTTCTCTTCCTTCAGAGACAAAGTCTCATGCTGAGCAGAAGACTTGCAGGAGTTCCTCATTCAGTTCCTCATTCACTCATGTTGGGAAATGAGAGGCTATGCTATTTAATTCGGCTATGTTGTTTTCCCAGGTGGGTTTGAAGCTTAATGTATTTTTCATTTTCAAGCCCAAGCTGCTGCAGAAACCTTTCAAGAGGCTTTCAAGAGTCCCCTTGGCGACTGCTGACATGACTTTTCGAGACTCAGTTTCCTTTCAGATCTAAAATTCTTGTCACTTTAAGAAAAAGCTTTCTCTCAAACTTGCTTATGTATTCACGGTGAAAATGTCTGATAAATCAGCTGGTTTCCATAGCCATTCTTATTTTCACAGCACTGAGCAAGCTCAGCCTACTGTTTTACTGTTTTCTTTCAAGTACTCTTGCAGTTTAGCTTTCAACTCAAACTCCCTGCAAGAAGCCCTCCTCTGGGAAATCACTAGATTTCTCAATGGAGCAGATGTATGTTTGGGTTTTGGGTTTTCTTAAAACATTGTTGCATAAGTGGGTCTTTAATGGAGTTAACCATTTCTCTAACATTTTCAGAACTAACTTTATTTCATCTCCAAGTTTTGATATCAGCGTCTCTGTTAAAAAAAAAAAAAAAAAGCAGTGTGCTATAATGTCTGTGTCAGGATTTCTTGTTTTAAAATGAAGGCAAAAGTTGCCATGAAGCCAGTCATTGATGGGGCACCAGGATAGATGACAGACCCTTGGTTTTCAGAGGAGCTACACCATGAAGTATAACTGGCCTTTGTTAGGATGACTCCTAGCAGAAGAAAAAGCCCTTAAATTTTTTAAAATTTCATCATTTACAAATCTTGCAAATGCTACAGCACAGAAAATACTCACTGAATTTGTTGAGGGATCATAGAGAAGATGTGGCTTTCTAGTTATCGACACAAAACCTTTATCATCGTGTGACAAATCATCAGTAAGTCAACCCGAAAAACGAAGAGCAAAGTCTTCCAATCTCTTGTACTGCGTCTTATCTTGATGTTTTCAGGTTAGTATTACTAGTCCCACCGCCCATGTAAATTTTCGCCCATGTAAATTTTCTTCTTTGGAATAAGTACTATTACTAAATAATTCGCTTCCTAAACCTTTAAGAGTTTTTGAACAAAAGTTTTACACTTTTGATATCCCAAAATGCATTAAAATAGCCAACATCCTTACTTGTCAAATGACTATGATTTTTAATTGATGGGACAGTTACTAGATTTCTAAGTTATGTGCCACAGACAAAGCATGACGGCATATGACAGCTTGGGTTATGATTCCATACAAAACCCTGGAGAAGTAGCTTTCATTGTTGTCGCTCCCCCTCTTCATGGAGGAACGACACTAAGCCCTGCCTAGGCTTCACATCCGAGTCACGGCACCATTATGTCGCTCCCCGTCTTCGTGGAGGAACGACACAGGACCCTGCGCTGTTCTTTTGTCTGCTCGGCCCTCCCCGGGTTTGCTGCTGGTTCTTCCCGGGTTGGCTACCATCCCTTCCACCTCCGTGGAAGGGCGGTTCCCCCTGCCACTTTCCCCACTTCCGCGGGGGAGCAGCACACCGCCGGCCGGCTCTCTCGGGGGCTGCACAGGTGTTCCTCAGGTGTTCCCCTTAGATGTTCCTGGTGCATGTTGTCTCTCTCCTCCTTTATAGTCCTCCTCCACCAATCCCAACTCTGCTACCCACATGCCAAGTACGCTGCTCTCCTCCAATCAGGAGCAGGATCAGCTCCTGCAGGTCATCACCCAAGCTAGCGAGAGGCAGCTGCGCAGAAGTTGCTACTCCCTTCTCAGCGCCATATTGTGGGAAAGCAGATGCATAGAATAAGTCTTAATTCCAGTAACTTAGTCTAGTCCGAGTTGCTCCCAGTTGCTCCCCACAATTGTAAAGACTGAATTTCGTTGTGTCCTCTGTAGTATATTAAAGTAACTCAAAAACTAACTCTCAATCACTAACCTTGTCAGTCAGCAGTGTTGTGGGTTTATGCCTGGTATGGTCCTCTTCTACCTCACATCTTGCCTTCAAAAATTGCAGCAAGGGCCGGCACCGTGGCTCAATAGGCTAATCCTCCGCCTAGCGGCTCCAGCACACCGGGTTCTAGTCCCGGTCGGGGCGCCGGATTCTGTTCCGGTTGCCCCTCTTCCAGGCCAGCTCTCTGCTGTGGCCAGGGAGGGCAGTGGAGGATGGCCCAAGTGCTTGGGCCCTGCAACCCATGGGAGACCAGGATCAGCACCTGGATCCTGCCTTCAGATCAGCGCAGTGCGCCTGCTGCGGCGGCCATAGGAGGGTGAACCAACGGCAAAAGGAAGACCTTTCTCTCTGTCTCTCTCTCTCTCACTGTCGACTCTGCCTGTAAAAAAAAAAAAAAAAAAAAATTGCAGCAATGAACTGTTGGATTTGTTTGTTACAAACAAACACTAATATATAAAAATAGACATAGTAACAAGAAAAACTCATACAAAATACAAAAACATTACCAAATAATTCCCTCCTAACCTACACAATCTATGTTTCTGCAACATTTACAACACAGTAGTCGAAGATAGCTGAGTTGTGGGACATTAAAAATTCCTTCTTTACAACGAAAATTTCCCAAAGATTCTTTTCACTTCAGAGAGCGTATGCACTCCCCTGGGTCAGCTGGCAGTGCCAAAGGGGAGGCTGGGAAGGTCATCATGAGGGAGAGGCCAAGTCATCCTCCTAATATGAGCAAGTACCCTCCTTACAGTACCATCTGGACCCTAACACACTGCCATATAAGACTGAAAGATCTCTAACAGAAATGTTAACAGGGCTGCCTGCACGAGAAGTCATATTTTTAAGAGCATAATGTGGCACGCAAAGGTCAAAAACATTTTTAGCCACAATTTTACATGGAACTCCAATTGAGAAACCCACCTGTAACACCCAGTTACCTCCTATGAGACATCAGGTGCATCTGACTCAGATCCATCTGTGACTTGACTTGCAGGTTCAGGTTTAGTTTCTCCCTCATGTACCACCTGAGTCTCTGTCACTGGTTTTGTTTTCTCGTCACTACTGTCTGGTACCCCCTTTTGGTTATTTCTCCCTTCTGCTGGGTCACTCTGACTTAATTTGTCATCAGATTCCAACTTTGCTTCTTTCCCATTTCCTTGCTTTGGGTGAAGTTGTGATGGGTCCTTAGGACTCTTCCCCACCTCCTGGAGGTTGTACTTTCTGAATAACATGTAATCTTTCACAACACTCAGGCAACAGCTGTGATGATTTCTACCACCACTGTGTACTGTGGGTTGGTGAGATCTACTTTATTTTCCGAACTGAGGCTGCCCACTATTCCTGTAACAAAAATACAAAAACACTTAGCCCAAGAAGGATACCATTAACTCTGATGAATAAAAATGAATAAATAAAAAATAAAAAAAAACCTTTTATCCCTTTCTGTCTGAGAACTGCTAAAAGAGAACAAATACTAGTTCACAGTTCTATGTGGACTTCAATCAAATCCCTTGAATCCTTTCAATAAACAAATAAAAATAAAATCCTGAGACATTTAAAAAGAGTACCTTTTTCTTAAGAAAATTCAGTGTTGATTTGGAAAAGACTAACTACCAGAAAATCTCCTATTCATCATATTGATATGTTAGGCTTTGTATTAATCTAAGGTCATTTTATCTACTTGTTCTATATTCAAAAATGTTGTCTTAAATCTAAAAAAAAAGAGAAAAAGAAAAAACCTTAAAAATGTTTTGCACAATTTTGTAAAATAATCAAGAAATGTACCTGCCAATTCTTTTATAACTTCTTCTCTGTTTACATGACTATTATTTCGAGATTTGTATACAATTTGAAATGTCCCTTTGTTTGGAGCTTTAAACCAGGGTTCCAAGAATGTTTCTGCATATTTTTTCATATCCTCCAAGAAAGCTTTGCATGTGCCTGCGATGGGTAACATTCGCAAAATGACTCGAGTCTTCTTCTTCTTGGTTTTGTACATATCCTGGAGAATGTGATGAACTAATTTCTCAGGTTCTAAAAGAAAACAGTCAACACAGAAGAGGCAAGTAAGCCAAGAAATTCTCCAACACTTTGAAGATTCTTGAAATTCTCTAAAATAAATTTTCACTGGCAGTGACTCAGGTTGACAATAAAAGTTCTCTTAAAAATTTTAAATTAATCTTTTGAATCAGTTTTTCCAACTAATATCTCTTTAGTGCCTACTATATAAAAACACCATATCCATATTTTTAAAGATATTTTATTTACTTGAAATCCAGAGTTACACAGAGAAAGAAGGAGAAAGAGAGAGGGGTCTTCCATTCTCTGGTTCACTCCCCAATTTGCCACCATGTCTGGAGCTGTGCCAATCTGAAGCCAGGAGCTAGGAGTTTCCTCTGGGTTTCCCACGTGGGTGCAGGGCCCAAGGACCTGGGCCATCTTCCACTGCTTTTCCAGGCCATAGCAGAGAGCTGGATGGGAAGTGGAGTAACCAGGACTCAAACCGGTGCCCACATGGGATGCCGGCACTGAATGCAGCGGCTTCACCCACGCCACCACAGTGCCGGCCCCTAACACCATATCTAATATTTTAACTTTTCGTCATTGTTACAGCTTTTACTAAAAACAATCGTTTGGGGTCAGTGCTGTGGTGTAGTGGGTAAAGCCGACACCTACAGTGCTGGCATCCCATATGGGCACTGGTTCGAATCCCAGTTGCTCCACTTCCAATCCAGCTCTCTGTTATGGCCTGGGAAAGCAGTAGAAGATGGCCCAAGTCCTTCAGTCCCTGCATCCATGTGGGACACCCAGAAGAAGCTCCTGGCTTCGGTCTGGCTCAGCTTCAGTTGCACAATTTGGGGAGTGAACCAGTGGATGGAAGCTCTCTCCCTTTCTCTCCCTCTCTCTCGCTGTAAAGTCTGCCTTTCAAATAAATAAATGTCTTTAAAAAAATAAAAAAAGGAAATATTTTCCCACCCTAGGACTCAATGTCATTTAATGTTGGGTCCCTGCACCTCACCTGAAATCATCCCGTTCCAGAAATGCTACAGAGCCCAAATCACCCATCTCCCCCCGACCTGAGGACTCCCAAAAGACCTTAATTCCCACCCTGCCTCCACGAAGCCCAAATGAAAGGAGCAGAGCTCCTGATCTGGTGGGGTTGGCAAACCTTGGCATGCGCCCATTCAGAGAACTAGGTTTAGAAAACCCGCCAGCTTCCAAAATTGCTCATCTCTGAAGGAGAAGGCCACTTCGCTCCCACTCACTTTGTTTTTCAGACAGAAGGACCCTGCAGCAGTTGAAGCCTCAGGTGGCTGATTGTCCCTCCAAAGGCACTTACTTGGCAGAGGTCAGCACAGCCATTCAGATGGCTGCTGTCTGGCCCTCGCTAGACAGAATGACTTTTCTTCTTGGGCTCTGAGGCTGGAGTGGTCTCAGTGGGGACGAATGGTTGCACCGGAGTGGCTGGAGGTGCAGCCTCAGAGGCAGGTGACGCGGTGTCGGGGCGCTGTCCTGGAGGTGGGGCGGTCTCAGAAGCCTGCGCAAGTGGCTCCGTAGGTGCCTCCAGGCCAGGTGCAGCCTGACGTAGAGAAATCTCCTGCACTGCACAGATGCTCTCAGTGGCCTGGGGAGGCGGAAGCAGGGCCCGCCCAGTCTCTGAATCCGCTGGGCCTACAGTCTGGAAAGCCTGGTCAGACAGACGTTGCAGCACAGGAACCTGGGTGCCCGCAGCCTGGGTTCCAGAAGCCTGAACAGGTGGAGGCTGAGGTCCGGAGACCAGAGGAAAATTCCAGTGCTGCCTCTGTGAGGCCATAGGCACCACAGGTTGGCTCTGAGAGGACACAGGGACCCGGAGATGGCACTGAGAGGCCGCAGAAGGCAGAGGCTGGCTCTTAGAGGTCACAGGGACCTGGAGATGGCACTGAGAGGCCGCAGAAGGCAGAGGCTGGCTCTTAGAGGTCACAGGGACCTGGAGGTGGCTCCGTGAGGCTGCAGGTGACATGGTGTGGCTCTGAGAGTTCACAGGTGCCAGAGGATGGCTCTGAGAGTCCATAGGAGCCAGACAGTGGGTCTGAGAGGCCCTAGTGACATGGTGGCAGCTCTGAGAGGCTGCCAGCAACACAGGTTGGCTTTCAGAGGTCACAGGGACCTGGAGGTGGCTCCGTGAGGCCACAGGTAACAAGGTGTGGCTCTGAGAGTACACAGGTGCCAGAGGATGGCTCTGAGAGTCCATAGGAGCCAGACAGTGGGTCTGAGAGGCCCCAGGGACGTGGAGGAAACTACGAGAGGCTGCAAGCAACACAGGTTGGCTTTCAGAGGTCACAGGGACCTGGAGGTGGCTCTGTGAGGCCATGGGGCCTAGGACGTGGCTCCGAGAGGCCTCAGAAATTACAGGGTGGCTCCTACACGTAGAGAAGGCTGGATTCTGAGTGGAAGAAACCAAGGGAACTACAGGCAGACTCTTAGGGAATGAAACAGTAGAAGGCAAAGGCTGGTCCAGAGTGGACAGAGGGAGAACGGGCGGGACCAGATGAGGCAAGGGTTGCCGATCAAACCATGGCGGACCTGAGTCAGGGCTTGGGGGTCCAAAGGACTCTGAACTTCCCTCATCTTCAGGCGTGCTGCTCAGAGCCCCTTGGCAAAAGGCCTGGCAGTGGTCGCTGTCCCTGTCACCTTCGGCTTCTTGCTCCAGCTGGCCGGTACCGGTCATCCCCGGGGCAGCCGTCCTCTGCAGGGTCCTCCAGGAGCGCCGCCGCTGCCGCTGTCGCCGGATCCGCAGAAAGCTGTTGGAGAGGGTCCCCATGGACCAGGAGAAGCGGTGGCTGACGCTCTGCTGCAGGGCGCTCACCATGTTTCTGGAGGCCAGCTGGGAGGTCAGCCCGAGGGTCTCTTCGGGAAGCAGTTCGATGTTGCCGGTGTACCAGGAGACCCACCAGAGCAGGCTGAGGAAGATGATGATGGCGCCCATGTAGAGCAGCATGTCGTAGAAGATCAGCTCGGCGAAGATGCCGACGAACAGCATCACCGCCCCCACCGTGTCGAAGACGACGCCCAGCCAAAAGAAATGCCTGCAACGGCCCAGACCCGACCGCTTCCTGCTCATGACGGTGGACTTTCTGTAACCTCCGTGGTCTCCCAGATCCGCGAGCGGCAACCGGCCGGGCGGCGCCGCGGTGGGCCGGCTCGGGCCGTTGGGTCCCCATGGCAACGCGGAAGGCGGGGCGAGAGGGAGGAGCAATTGGGCTGCGCTCCACCTCCCTGAGACGAGAAGGGCCTCGGCCCGGAGCGGCGCGCGTGCGCAGTGCGGCCCGTCGCCCGCGCGGCCGCCTTTTGCGCCTGCGCGGCATTTCCTCTCTGGGCGTCCGACGGGTTTGCCTCCCGTCAGCGGCCTGGCAGCCTTCAGGGGCTTCGTGTCCTGACGTTAACGTCTGCGATGGCGCGCCCGGCTTCGGGCCGCGGTCCCTTCCCCGCCGTGTTCGTATCCCCTCTGCGCGTCCCTCACCGGTCTGAGCGAGGGCGAGACCCTCCAGGAAGGAGCCGAGGACGCGGACCTTCCCGGAGTTCCCTCAAGGCCGGGCGGCACGTCGGGCCCGGGCGCGCCCCTGGCTTCAGCGCTCCTGTTTTCCCTTTGTTGTTTGCCCGCGGGGACCGCAGGAACAGACTCGTGCTCGGTTATTGCAGACCCGGAGGTAAATTCTCTGAGGGGTTTCCACCGCTCCGATGTCTGCTGTTGCGAAGGCTGTGGACCTGTTTGCCCAGATGCTTAGTCCTTGAAAAAGCGGGACTGCTTTCCCCTTACTCCCCCCGGAATAGGAAAATAGAAAACTGTCAGAAACGGAAGAGTGGGGGCCAGCGCTGTGGCCTTGTGGGCTAAGCCTCTGCCTGCGGCGCCGGCTTCCCATGTGGCGACGGTGGGAGTCCTGGCTGCTCCTCTTCCGGTCCAGCTGTGTGCTGTGCCCTGGGCGAGCAGTGGGAGATGCCCACGTGCTGGGGCCCCTGCAGCCGCGTGGGAGACCTGGCTCGAGTTCTTGGCTCCTGGCTTCAGTCTGGCCCCACCTTTGCTGCTGTAGCCTTTTGGGGGAGTGAACCAGTCGGTGGGAGATTCTCTCTCATCTCTGCATTATAACAAGTAAATAATTTTTTTAAAGATTTACTTAGTTATTTGAAAGGTACTCTCTGGTTAAGAGGTTCTCATACTGTAGCTGTGAAAAAAAGAGAAACAGGGAGAGACAGAAAAAAATCTTTTAAAAACGCAATGTTACGTTTAAATATAATATTTAGAGGCAGGCATTTGGCAGCGCAATTACGATGTCCCTGGGGACACCACATTCCCTATCAGAGGGCCTGGGTTCAAGTGTGACTGCTTCCAATTCCAGCTTCCTGCTAACGTGCGCCCGGGAGAGGCAGCGGTGACTGTTGGAAGAGTTGGATCCCTGCCATGCATATGGTAGCTCTGGGCTGAAGTCCTGGCCTCAGTCTGACCCAGCTTTGGCTGTTGTAGGCATTTGGCGAGGTGTGTGGCGGGGTCGGGGTCAATCCGTGGATGGAAGATCTGCAGTTCTAAGTCTCTGCCAAAGCTAGGATCCTGGAACTCAACCTCGGTCTCCCACGTGGGGTGCAGGGTCCCAGCTACCTGACCCAGTGCCTGTTGCCTCCCAGATGCACATTTGTGGGAAACTGGATCAGAAGTGGAGCAGCTGCTACAGCCCAGAGTCTCGGATATGGGACACCCACGTCCCAAGTGTCAACTTACTCACTGAGCCAAATGCCTGCCCTTAATCCAGTGATTTATACATTTCCAGTTTCCTCATTTTCAAACTCAGAGAGTAGACTCATGTGCATTGCTGGAGTTTTACATGCCTGAGGCATACTTTCAAAGTTGCATTCTCCCGTTGTAACCAAGGAATCACCCTTCAAATAAGTACGTGGCCTATAGTCATATTGTCAGGTATTTTCACTGGAGAGCTTTATGATTTTTTTTCTATTAATAATGTTCCGTAAACTGCCTAATATTCCACACCAATAAACTTACATAAAAATGTGTAATTTGTTTGCACCAAGATGATTTTCACACACACACACACACAAAACGCTTTCAATAAAGTCAGTTTATCCTTCTTCTATTGCTATGATGTGAACCTAATTTACAATGACACATGTTTATAATGGGCCACATCTGTTTTATAATCAAAAAGTAAGGAAGGTGTTTTTCTTTCTGCATTCTTAACAGTATTTCAGGTCTCATGACTCCCTATTAGTACTGCAAATTCCTTTTTTAAAAAAAATATTTATTTTATTTGAGAGGTAGAGTTACAGACAGTGAGAGGGAGAGACAGAGAGAAGTCTTCCTTCTGTTGTTTCACTCCCCAATTGGCCGCAACTGGGGTTGGGGCAGGCCAGAGTCCAGAGCCCGGAACTCCTTCTGGGTCTTCCATGTGGGTGGCAGGGGTCCAGGCCATCATCTGCTGCCTCCCGAGATGCATCAGCAGGAAGCTGGACCAGAGGAGTAAGCAGGGCTTGAATTCCCACTCTGATATGGGATGGGGACCTTCCAAGCAGTGACTTAACCTGCTACTCCATGATGTGTGCTCCCTCCTTCTTCTTATAGAAGTTACAGTTCCCAACAGTGATTGATCACAGCTTTCCTCAGCCTTCTTTGAAAGGCAAGAGAGCCCAGGGAAGTCTGTTTTCAAGCATTGAGACAGGTTCTGACCCCTCAGGGCTCATATGGCAAAGCTGTGGGCAGGTGATGTTTAGAATTAAGCTTTACTCTTCACCAACCCCCAAGTTCCCAACTGAATTTTGATTGGAGTGACTTTAAATGTATAATTTAGGGAAAAGTCATCATTTTCACAATATAGAGGCTCCTATCTGAGAACCTCGTGATCAAGTCTTTTATACCTTGACCATAGTTTTATAGTTATGTGTAGGAGGGGATCTTCAGATAATTTTTTTCATATATTCTAGATACAGTATTTTTTGGTTTTGCAGGTGAAGTCTTCAGCTCATAAGAAAGCAAACATGCTTAACAGAATCTTTTTTCCTAACAGGCACTTTGGTTGTACCTTAAATCTAAAACAAACAAAAAATACACACAGAAACACTACTTATTTATTTCAAAGGTAGAGCAACAGAGAGAGGGAGGTCTTCCATCCATTGCTTTGCTCCCTAAATGTCCCCCCTGGTCGCACTGGTCCAGGATGAAGCTGGGAGCCAGGAACTCCATCCAGGTCTCCCAGTGGTTGGCCGGGGACCAAGCATTTGGGCTGTCTTCTGGTGCTTTCCCAGGTGCATTAGTAGAGAGCCGTATCAGAAGGGGAGCAGCCAGAACTCCAGTGGGCACTCAGATATGGGATGCTGGTGTCATAAAGGGTGGCTTCACCTGCTACGCCACATTGCTGGCCCCTGTGCGTTAGTATTTATACAACAAACTCTGGGCTTAGAATGCTTAACACTGGCCGGCGCTGCGGCTCACTAGGCTAATCCTCCGCCTAGCGTTTACAGAATATTTTTTTTTTAAGATTTTCATTTATTTTGTTAAAGAGTTAAACAAACAGAGAAGGAGAGCGAGCGAGAGAGAGAGAGAGAGAGAGAGAGAGAGAGAGAGAGAGTTGAGGTATTTCATCCTCTAGTTCACTCCCCAGTTGGCCGCAACTGCCTGAGCTGCGGTGATCAAAACCAGGAGCCAGGAGCCTCCTCCAGGTCTCCCACGCTGTTGCAGGGGCCCAAGGACTTGGGCCATCTCCCAGGCCATAGCAGAGAGCTGGATCAGAAGTGCAACAGCCAGGACTCAAACTGGCACCCATATGGGATGCCAGCACTGCAGGCGGTGGCTTTATGCGCTATGTCACACAGTGCCAGCCCCTACAGAGCACTTCTGACATCAAATGTGTGAGGATCTTCCTGGTACCAGAAACCAACTCCTCAACCCTCCAGATAGCAACTAAGTGTCCTACAATTTAATCCAATTCTGTCACCAGCTACCTGGAGTTGTTGAACCCCTAAAACCTGGGTCCACTCAATGTGCAGCGTGTCGATCACTGACACCTCGTGGGGGAAAAAATTACCCCTTATCAACGGGGTAATGAGTATCAAAGCCTAAAAACCTGGGCCATCCTTGGGTTTTTTAAAGATTTATTTTTATTTGCTTGAAAGAGTTACAAGGAGAGAGGGAGAGACAGAGAGAGATGCATCCGCTGGTTCACTCCCCAAATGGCCACAACAGCCAGGGCTGTGCCAGGCTGAAGCCAGGAGCCTGGAGCTTCTTCTGGGTCTTCCATATGGTTGCAGGGGCCTAAGCACTTGGGCCATCTTTTCCTGTTTTCCCAGGTGCATTAGCAGGAAGCTGGAATGGAAGTGGAAGAGCCAGTTTTTGAGGGGACAACATAGGGGTGCCGGTGCTGCAGGCGGATGCTTAACCCGCTATGCAACAACACCAGCCCATCTTTGACTATTTAAACAATTATTTATTTTACTTGAGAGGCAGAGATGGATCTTCCATATACTGGCTCACTCTCCAGATACCCACAACAGCTAAGGTTTGGCCAGGCTAAAATAAGGAAACTTTAATCTGGGTTTCTTACCTGGGTGAAGGGACCCAAGTACTTGAGCCATTATTTGCTGTCTCCCAGACTGAACAGTAGTAGGAGTCAGGGATAGACACCAGGAACTCTGATATGGAATGTGGGTGTCCCAAGCAGTGTCTTAACAATTACACTGAACACCCATACCAGACTCCTTTTTTTTTAACTGATGGAAGAAAGTTTAATAGGAAAATAATTTTTGCCTTTCTTTATCCTGCAGGTTGCTGATTTTAGGATCCAGTAAAAGTTTAGTGAACTGGCTCTGAAGAACTTCTTCCTAACCCTCTTCTCTTCTGTTGGCTATTTTATTGTATTACTTACTAATCTTTGTAGAGAACTTTGAATTACCAAGATGAAGAATTTTCCTTCTGCATCAAGTACAGGAAAGGCTTTTTTTTTTTTTTTTTACAAATGGAAATGTCAAAAATCTCTATCATAGCCTAAAAACAAAATGTAGTTAAGATTTAATGAGTAAGTAAGATTCAGATGCATTTGAGGCCTTTTAAGATTTTATTTTATTTGAGAGGCAGAGTTACAGTGAGAGAGACAGAGAGAGGTCTTCCTTCCATTGGTTCACTCCCCAGATGGCTGCAACAGTTGGAGCTGCACTGATCCACAACCAGGAGCTTCTTCCAGGTTTCCCACATGGGTGCAGGGGCCCAAGGACTTGGGCCATCTTCTACTGCTTTCCCAGGCCACAGCAGAGAGCTGGATGGGAAGTGGAGCAGCCAGGACTAGAACCGGTGCCCTCATGGGATGCCCGCCACCACAGGTGGATTAACCTACTGTGCTATGGTGCCAGCCCCGAGGGCTGGCTTTCCACACTATAATGGGTAACAGACTAGTTCTGGTTCTTGCAAGCTGGGTTCATCCTGAACCAGTGCCACCAGTGGGGGCATTTAGGGGGCAAACCAATGGATAGAAGACCTTCCTCTCTGTTACTCTTTGGAATAAATAAGTCGGTTTTTTGTGTGTATTTTGTTTTAGATTTAAGGTACAACTGAAGTGGCTGTTGTGGGCAAATTGGGACGGAATCGTTGGAAAAGGAAGATCTCTGTCTCTCCGCCCCCCTCTCTCTGTCACTCTGCCTTTCAAGAAAATAATCTTTAAAACAGAAGTTTAGGACAATACAACAGTGTAGTCTAGAGCTGTAGGAGCATCAGATTGGGAATCTGAGATCTGACACCTGGATCCTGAGATTCAGACACACAGTTTACCAGGCCCTGCCTTTAGACAGCTGAATCTGCTAGAAGACAAAACTATTAAACCTGTGCAATAAAGTTTTACTGGTGTGACTGCAGACTGATGTGATAATGTGAGAATAAAGAGGTGATAAACAGGAAGGCTCCCTACCAATATGTGGGCAATCTTAAGGCTGGTATAAGCTAGGAGGGAGTGGGAGGTGTCCTCCAGCTAGACAGCATAACTATAAGCAGCGGTGGGTACTTGGCACAGTAGTTAAGCTGTCACTTGGGATCTCTTCATCTCACATTTCAGTTTGAATCCCAGCTCTGCTCCCAATTTCAGCTTCCTGCTCCTGCAAACCCTGGGAGACAACAAGGGATGGCTCAATGCTTGGGTCCTTGCCTCCAACGTGGGAGACTTGGCTTGAGTTCCAGGCTCCTGGCTTTGGCCTGGCCCAGCCTTGGTTGTGGTGAGCATTTGGGTGGGAGATCTCTCTCATTTCTTTAAAATAAAAGTAAATAAAACTAGTTCCACTTAGGAATGTATTGGCAGTGGGCAGATCTGTACCACGGGCACAGGAACTGCAGTATCCAGGTTCAAGCCCTGCCTCTGCCACTCCCCACCTACCTGACCTGAGTAGGTTGCTTAATCTCTGCTTACTTTCTCCAGCTATAGAGGGAATGACAAAAATCGTGTTTACCAGCCGGCACCGCAGCTCACTAGGCTAATCCTCCACCTTGCGGTGCCGGCACACCACACCGGGTTCTAGTCCCGGTCGGGGTGCCGGATTCTGTCCCAGTTGCCCCTCTTCCAGGCCAGCTCTCTGCTGTGGCCAGGCAGTGCAGTGGAGGGTGGCCCAAGTGCTTGGGCCCTGCACCCCATGGGAGACCAGGAGAAGCACCTGGCTCCTGGCTTCGGATCAGCAACATGCGCCGGCCGCCGTGGCCATTGGAGGGTGAACCAACTGCAAAGGAAGACCTTTCTCTCTGTCTCGCTGTCCACTCTGTCAAAAATTTAAAAAATTTAAAAAAAAAAAAGGCGGGTCCCAGCAGCTCGGGCGGCGGGGGCAGCGGCAGCGGCCAGGCAGCCCAGCTCCGCGAAGGCTCTCGGCGCGCCGCGGCCCGCAGGTACCCGGCACGTGCCCTCCGCGCCGCCAGGATGCCCAAGAGGAAGGTCAGCTCTGCCGAGGGGGCGGCCAAGGAGGAGCCCAAGAGGAGGTCGGCGCGCTTGTCGGCGAAGCCGGCCCCCGCCAAGGTGGAAGCGAAGCCCAAGAAGGCCGCCGGGAAGGATAAGTCATCAGACAAGAAAGTGCAAGCAAAGGGGAAGAGAGAAGCAAAGGGAAAACAGGCCGAGGTGGCTAACCAAGAAGCTAAAGACCTGCCTGCAGAAAACGGAGAAACGAAAAACGAGGGGAGTCCAGCCTCTGATGAAGCAGAAGAGAAAGAAGCCAAGTCTGATTAATACCATACACCATGTGTTATCAGTGCTCCCTGTCTCCCTTCTTGTACAATCCAGAGGAATATTTTTATCAACTATTTTATAAATGCAAGTTTTTTAGTAGCTCTAGAAACATTTTTAAGAAGGAGGGAAGCCCACCTCATCCCATTTTTTAAGTGTAAATGATTTTTTTTAAGAGGTGAAATCATTTGCTGGTTGTTTATTTTTTGGTACAACCAGAAAACAGTGGCATATTGAATTCTGGGAGGCTTTGACTGTCTTGGGTGTCAGCTTAACATTCCATAGGTGGGGGTGGTTTTTATATCCTACAGTACAGCGCATACTAAATGGCGATTTGGAGTCTCAATTGTGCATTTAATCTGTCTTGAATATTTTCAGTTACTTCTCCCGTGTTCTGTAGAATTGTTTTCTACAGAAAACCACTCCTTGTTCTGTCAGAACCATGTGCACTCTGTAACATCTTCGGTTGTGGTAGTCCAGTTTTCCTAATGATTTTGTTAATGTGCCGTGAAAGATTGAAAATTTGAGTGTTGTGTATATGCTATTATATTGTGAATGGGTGGGATTTATGTAACAGCAACATTTGAAGATACTTGTACTTGATAGCCTCTTAAGGAAGAGTTGCCTCCAAATTTGAAGCTGGAAAGTCACTGGAATAACTTTTAAAAAAAAGGATGACAATTCATGGCTTTTTAGATTTTTGGTACGTATGTTAAGAATTGTGTACAAATTAAAATGTGTGTGCTGATTCTCAACACCAATAAAATCTCAATTATGGACAAAAAAAAATTTAAAAAAAAAAAGACCTCTCTCTCTGCCTTGCCTCTCCTCTGTGTAGCTCTTTCAAATAAATATCTAAAAAATTTTTTAAAAATCGTGTTTACCTCAGAGTGGTTGCATTACTCACTGCATCATTGTACCTGCTCAACAAGTGTTAACTATTTTTCTTAAGTTAATGTACACTTCATGATTGTTGCTGGTATGATTCCAATTAAGTCATTTTAAAAGATGAGAACTCTAGTCAGAATATTTTAATTTAAAATGGATTAGTTTAACCCTAATATTTTTGTCTTTAATTATTAGAGGTTTTATGTAATTTAACCATGATATCTGGGCCTTTTCTTCACTAATATCTTGTTACAATTTTCTTTTCAGCCTGTTTTAATAATTCAGTTTCCTTAACCATTCAATTCTTTTGTACTGTTTCCATTGTGTCTACTCTGTCTTGTCCTGTTTTCCTTTAATAGTTCTGTTTTATTTTGGATCCATCTTTTTACTTTTATAAAATTTTTAAGACAAAAATTACACACATTGCATAGAATACAATGTTAACTGCTTACAGGCTGTGGAATCAACTGAGCTAACATATGCATTACCTCCCGTATTTATCTTTTTACAGCTGAGTAGTGATGAGAACACCAACCCTTGACTTTATTCCTCCAACCTAACTAAAATTATGTTTGCTTGCTTGACCTGTATCTTGGGATACAAAACCCCCACGCCACCCTGGCAACCACTATTCTGCTCTACTTCTGTGAGTACATTTTATAATTCCACATGTGAGCTCATGCTGTATTCTTCTGTTTGTGCCTGGCTTTTCTCACTTAATATAACGTCCTCCATGTTGATCCACATTGTAACAAACGACTGGATTTCCTTCTTTCATCTGCTGATGGACATATATAGGTTGATTTCCTTATACTTACTATTGTGAATGCTAAAATGAACATGGGAATAGAGGTATATTTCGAGGTACTCATTTTGTTCTCTTTGGATACATACCCAGTAGTGGGACTGCTGGATGGTGGTTCCGTTTTTTATTTCTTGAGGAAGCTGCATATTGTTTTCATAATGGCTGTACTAATTCCTAATTGTACCATCCATGTGCACAGTGCCCTTTTCTCCACATCCTTACCAGCATTTCTGACCATTTTGGTAATGATCATTCTAAGGGTGTGACATGTGTCTCATGGTGGCTTTCATTGTCATTTCCCCTGATGATCAGTGACATCGGACAACTCCATCTACTTGGTCATTTGTACACTGTCCTTGGGGAAATGTCTAGTCAGGTGTTTTGCTCACTTTTAAAGTCAGTTTGCTTTCTTGCAATTGAGTTCCTTGTGTATCTGGGATATTGACCCCTGATCAAATGTGTGGTTTGCAGATTTTCTCATTCCACAGTCATCTCCTCACTCCTCACTGCTTCCTTTGCTGTGAAGCTTGGAGTAATCCCATTTGTCATTTTTGCTCTTGCTGCTGTGCTTTTGGGTTTCATATACCAAAAACAAACAAACAAAGCACTCCTCAACCAAAGCCAGGCAGCTTTTCCACTTTTCCAGTTGCATAATCTTTATTTTGATTTTTACATATGGTCTAAGTGAAGGGTCCAATTTCAATTTTTTTAGCATGTAGAAACCTAGTTTTCCCAGAACCACTTATTGATTGTATAGTCTTGGCACTTTTGTCAAAAATCAATTGTAAATGCATGAATTTCTGGGCTCTCTAGTCTGTTCCATTGGTCTATGTGTTTTGTTTTCATGCCAGCACCATGCTGTTTTGATGACTAGCTTTGTGGTAGATTTGGAGTCAGGTAACATGATGCCTTCAACTTTGTTCTTTGTGCTCAAGAGATTCTGCTGGGTAGGCTGGGACAGCAGATAGATGTCTGGCACTGGCTGGTCCTGGACCCACTGGAGTGGACCAGATGTTTGGGTGTGGAGTCCTAAGTCCATGGGAGACTGCAGCGGGTCTAGTGCTAGGGTAGGCACAGAGCCTGAGGCCATGTGCTTTGGCTTGAAGACTGGGCCCATGAGGGCCATCTTGGAGCCTGGGTGTTTTACACTGACCTGGGGCTAAATTGGGGGTGGCTTGGAGTCCTGGGCAGGTCTGGGGTACCAGGCAGATCTGGAGAGACAATCCATGGTAGCAGCCTGGAATTGGGCCACTGGGGTGGGCCCGGCTATGTCTAAGGCAAAGTCTGGCATTTCCCCCTCCTTCCTGACACACAGGCAGTGAGGCCTGGGGTTGGAAAAGGGGTGAGAGATACATCCTTCCCACTCTCCTCGGCACATCTTCTGTGCTACACTCAGCTGCCATAAGCACTGTGGCAAAGGTACTTCCACATGTGGATGAAAACAGCTATTTCTGCAGGAATACAGGTGTTGAAAAGCCTTAGCCACCACTTTGCTGTCGTACTGAGTTCCTTCACAGTTTTGGTTCTTTAACAGTAATTTCTTAATATAATCCTTTAATTGTCTTTTTTAGCTATTTGAAGTCAAACTTGCTGATTATCACGGCAGTGCTTCAGGCTGTGACTTCCCCACTGAGCATCAAGCCAGGTGAGTTCTGCCACATGCAGCAGATTCTGGGTTGGTCGTTCCACGTCAGGGGTTTCCCCTTTCACAAGGAGGAAGGAAAGTCAGTGTGTAACAGCTAAATATATGTTAACAGAGCCAAAAGCATAATGTATAATCAAATATGTATCTGCAAAGTTCTTCCCTAATCAATCCCCTACAGATGCATGGGTAAACCATCTCTTAAAACCTTCTGATAACAGTGACTACCATATAAAACAGTGTGGCAAAAACTTCAATTATTTAACAAAATTGACATTTCACCCCATCCAGCCTACTCTTTCTTCACCATCCTCTAGAGCTGTGCTGTCCAAGGGGACTGCCAGCCACACACATGGCAAGTCCAAACTAGAAATGCTCAGCCTGTAAAATGCCACATTTTGAAGACTCAGGTCAAAGAAATAGAAAATGCTAACATTTCTTACCATATGCTGATGTTCTAGATACTTTGAGCTCAAAAAGTATTAAAAACATGATTTTCACTTATTTTACTGTGGTGACTGCGCCTGTCTACTGGGCATCCTCTTTGCTGTGCTTCCTGCTTTGCGTGCACAGCACCACCGCCCTGAAGTTCCCATCTGAAGACAGCAGGACCATGATGCCAGTTTACTGTTAGCATTTATTTTAGAAATACACAAAATATAGATTTTTTACATCAAAGTGTGACAGCCTCACTTATATACTTCCATACTTACCTGGTTTTGTCTGCATTGTTACGCAAACATGAGTTTGATTCTAATTTTTTGCTATGGTTCATGTAAACAGTTGAGACTGCTACATAAAGTAGGTTGCTGTAAAAGGTAAAGTGGCCACAGAAACCCAACAGTGAAACAATTCAGTTTGGTTTGTTTAATGAACTTGGCAGAAGTCTTAGCAGATAGATGATCTAAGACTAAATACTGGCTTCTAGGCATTTTAAATATTAAAAACCTTGAGGTTTTCTTCATCTTGTAAACATAACTTAGACCTTGTTGGTATTAAGTTTAAAAAGGAAAATATTAAACCATGATTTTTATCCTCTTGCCCATGTCAGTATACACTCTCTTTATTATGAGAATGAAACCAAATAATAAGCAAAATACATCAAGAATTTCAAATTTTACTGCAAAGAAGGTGCAGCTGGTCTCTGCAGAGAGTGGTCGATCTCACTGAAGCTGACCTTCCGCGGGCTGAGTGTGAGCCCCTCTGTCCACTGGGCTGTGGGGGCCCAGGCCGTACGGGAGATGGGTAGTTCCTCTTGCTCCATGGCCCCTGAAGCAAGTCAAGACTCCACCTCGGGCTCCGCTGTCCTTCCTTGGGCTTGGATTCATGGGGCTTGTGGTTTGCTACTATTGTCAAGACTGTACCGTCCCTTTAAGGTACCACATGCCACCATGGCTCACACAGCAGTCCTAGGATCAGACAAAGAACAGCTTAAGAGCAGATTTTGCCAGCTGCTACACTGTCCAGAACATCAAAACGTGATTGATGACAGAACAGAAATGGGAAATGAAGAGCTGCCTGACCAGGGCCTGTGTCTGTGGCACAGCGGTGATGTCAGCATCCCGTATCAGTGCCAGTTCAACTCCCACTGCTACTCCACTTCAATCCAGCTCTCTGCTGACGCACCCGGGAAGGCAGCAGTGACTCATATGGTTCCCTGTCACCCAGATGGAGTTCCAGGCCTGGTCCAGCCCAGCCCCAGCCCTTGTGGCCATTTGGGGAGTGAACCAGCAGATCAAAGAACTCACTTTCTGTCTCTCTAATCTTAAAAAACAAAAACAAACAAACAAACAAACAAAAAAACAAAAGCCACATTGTTGGGGTAATTTTTCCTTAGGACTATTTTAGCAGGGTCTATAAAAATGAATGTGCTGTATAAACAGAATACAAATATGAGAGGGTGTTCCAAAAGTTCATGGGAAATGTACATTATGAAAACTATGTGTGGACTTCAAGTGATTTTTGCATCAAAATTATCTTTTCATTCCATTTTCCCACCAGCTTTTTGAAACTCCCCCGTGCTGACCAGTACCAAAATACAGTAAAATGAGTTTATTAAGTAATAAGTCAACCATAAGCACTTTCATCGGCTTGCTGTACGTCTCAGTCTGCTCAGAAAGGCAGTATAGGCAGCACATGAAATACTACATCTGTTGGATAAATGGTATTTTAAACCAACTGAAGTGAAAAAAAATTAATTCTGTTCAAACTTGTTTAATGTAGGTATGTGACTTCGGCAACAGGCATGAGAATGAACAGCTTGAGTCAAAGCCAGTGAACCAGAACTTGAATCTGGACCCTGCCCCTGAAGAGGCTGGAAGAGGTAAGTCCTGTACACACTGACTACTTCTGGTTGCAGCAGGGGCCCAGGGAAGGCTGACTTAAGGAGGAAAGGTGCCACAGTCCATTCCTCTGTCCAAGATAGAGCAGTCAGCCATGGGGAGCCTCGTTTCGGAGGCAGTGGTCAGCAGAAGCCCCAAGGCCTCTGGATATGGTTATGCATCAAACAGTCATACCTTTAGCACTTTATCCACCTCCTGTTTACTGAGATCTTCTCCACACTCCTGGGTCAACCGAGACTGGATCATGTTCCGGCGTACCCGGTAATTTTTAGAAAAGATTTCAAGCAAAACCTGTCGATGCTTTAGCATTAAAAACATGTTATTATGGGAATAATGATCTAGAAGAAAAATATCCCCAGAACCACAAATCTAACCCCTTACTGCAGTCTCTAATCAAAGTCTGGCCAATGTGCTTCCCCCAGGACCCCAGTAAGATGACTACAGAGGGGCCGGTGTAGCAGGTTAAGCCACTGCCTGCAGTGCCAGCATCCTATGTGGGTACCAGTCCAAGTCTGTGCTGCTCCACTTCCAATCCAGTTCCCTGCTGATGGCCTGGGAAAGCAGTGGAAGATGGCCCATGTGCTTGGGCCCTTGTACCCACGTGGAGACCTAGAAGAAGCTTCTGGCTTTGGCCTAGCCATCTGGGGAGTGAATCACCAGAAGGAAGACCTCTCTCGCAAATAAATCTTTAAAAAAAAGCAAAGACCGTCTGGTGCTTTAGTAATCTTTAAGTTCTAGACAGGTTCATGGTTTAAGGCAAACTCTGGCCCTCGGGGTACATGAGTCTGCACTATGGAGCACTGCTGGTTTAATTCACATCCTACTCACTGGGCGCCTGTGATCCTCCCTGCCAGGGTGAGACCAGAGGCAAAATGACCACTTCTCCAACCTGCAGGTGCAGGACCCAAGACTGGATAAGGAATCCTTTGACCCCCATGGCCAGAGACCACTGAGGAGCGGTGCTGGAGGTGGGTGAGGCCAGTCGGTGGCAGTCACTATGCAGCTTTATGGAAACCTGCACCCCCAGGACAGTACCCACACTGGTTTAGGCCCAAATGAAGGGCACAGACAGCCTCTTCCAATGGCACACAGACAAGCAGTGTGGAATAGTCAAAATCAGGAGTAGGTGGGAAACCTGAAACCATACAAGGAAGCTTCACAGGGCTCATGGTAAAATGGATTTAAAGAATTCAAAGTGCATGAAGCCCTCTCGCATATGACTGCATTCTCCCCTTCCAGGAAACCCCCCTGCTCCTGGGGGAGATGGCAGGAAGTCTCCTTACCTGGTCACTCATGTCTCCAGACTCCCAGAGCGCAAACACCTTCTGCTCATCTGGGGACGCAGCAGTCTGTGGGGGAAACTGGCACAGCCTGCGTGTGAGGTGCTTGCCTGCCCACACCCTGTGGCTGCACAGCCACACCACCCACCTGGACCCACGTTCGCTGGCCGTGGGTCCACTTCCTCACCTCACTGTGGGAAGAGGCTACCACACTCCAGCAGGGCCCACAAGCCTAGGGACTTGCCCAGCACCAGAGCTGGCATGACGCCCCATGGATGTGCAAAGCAGGAAGGAAGCCAGGTTCTTGTTCCTCCCGTCAGCATGGCATTAGCTCAACTCTCTGCCCTGACATCTGGGGCCCTTCTACCCTGAGATGCACCTCTTCCTTCCTCATAACTCCTTAGGGGCAGCCTGAGGATTCCCACAACACTGAGAGGCCTTGCCTGATACCCACGCGATCCATACCACAGGGTTCATCAGGGTCTGAATGAGGACCAGGGAAATGGTGGCCCAGGGCTCTAGGCCCTTGAGAAGGGAGATAGAAAGGGAGCCCCAGGCGGCAGGCTCCAGGCTCAGCACTACAACCCCGGTAACGGTCATCGGCACACAAAACCCAGCAAGGGGCTATACACAGGCAGTCTCACTTGAAACCAGAGAGGCACCGAGTGCTCCTAGCCCTCTCCCCATGAGGAGTAGGCTGTCCACCGTCACACAACAGGAGTTAATAAACTCAAGTCCAAGTCCACTTGTTCTCCCTTGTGTGGAAAATAGAAGAGAGGAGATCTGAGGTCTCTTCCATCTTGGAGACGCCTACAACATGGTCCCCACGTCAGGATCACGGGGAGACACTAGCCCAATAGAGAAGGAGGAGGATGGCCGGGGCAGGGCCTGGGGATAGAGCAGGGCATCCGAGAATGGCTGCATCACCAGACAAGCTTGCCACCCTCAAGCAGGCACCTTCCTGGCACGGCTCGCAGAGAACTGGACCCACTGCTGGATAGCCAGGGGCTCCAATCTCAGTACCTCCCACCAAAGCAGCTCCCCCCAAGCAGGGCCAGATCCTGAGACCACCGACCTGGGATCCACAGGGCCTCTTGTGCTAGTGTCTGCCATTCACAGAATGTCACCCTAGGCTGCAGGTGCTTCTGACCTTGGCACAGGACACGTCAAAGAAAGCCACAGCGCCCCTCACCCTATTGTCAGGTCTGGGCAGAGCCTGGGGGGAAAGACCAATCACAAAGGCCCCCTCTGAAACCAGACTGGCACTCTCATCTCAAAGAAGGGAAGTGGTCTCCAGCTCATGCTCCTCCCCTCCCAATGACAGAAAAGAAGCCTGGGTACAGGGGCTCCCTCCATACCTGTCTAGGCACTGCGGAAGCGCTCAGCTCAGCTTGGCTGAAGCAGAAAGGACTCAAAACCTAGAGCCACTGCACTGAGGTTCAAATCTCAGCCCTATCGTTTGCTGGCTATGGGACCTGCAACAATTCCATTTCACTTCCTAGAACTTGTTTCTTGGTCTGCAGGTTGCAAAGTGAATCACTGCCAACCATGGCAAAGCTGGCAGAAATGTGGGGTGCTGGCGCAGCAGGGGTGGAAACCTGGAAGGGAACCCGTGTGTACAACGCACTACTCTCTGCCCGGCAGCAAGTTAGGGCCTCCAGACACCTTACCGACATCCTACAGGCCAAAACCAACATCACCCACTTCACATGAGCTCAGCGCCTAAGGCTGACCTGCCCAAGGTCACACCTGGCTGCAGTTCACCAAGGAGGCCTGCCCCTCCCCACACCTGGTTCCCAGGGCAGATAGGGCCCACTGGGGCCACTCCTAAAACAGGCAGACTTCTCCCCTTGAACCTTCCTGTCAGGGGAGACCCTGGCTGCCCAGGTGCCCTGAGGGTCAAGGGGTCCTGTTGTGCCCACCATCCCCTAGGCTCTACTTACAGGCACCAGTATCTGCTTGCAGCCGGCGGCCAGCACCGTATCCTGCAGCATGCGGTCCGAGATGCCGCTGAAGAGCGTGTGACCCGGGGGCAGGCTGGCCAAGTGCAGGTTGAAGAGGCGTTTGAGTTCACTCAGCGTGAGCACAAACTGTCTCTGAAAGGTGGCCTCCACGAAGGCCCTCAGTTCCCGGGCCACAGGGGTATTGGCACAGCCTGGGGGCGGGTGCCCATTGAAGCTGTCCCCACCCACTGCCCGCCCCGCAGGCAGCCCGTTGGCCAGCCTGTTGTTGAGGCCGCCACTGGGTGAAGTGTCCATGGGCTCCTCCTCTTCCTCCCCTTCTTGCTCGTCCTCTTCCTCCTCACTCATGGGCTCCTCCTTGATCCGCACACCAGGCAGGACTGCGGAGGCCCGGATCTGCTCCTTCCGCCGCTGCAGCTCCCGTTCCAGGAAGGCGTGGTTCTGCTGGGCCTTGGTTTTGGCTACTTGGACCCGCTGGTCCCCAGAGACAAGCCCAGTAGGCCCTGTGGAGGAAGGCAGCATTGCTCACGAGGGCACAGGACCAGAGCAGACAAGGACCTGAAGACAAAGGCCCAATGGGACAGCTGGGCTGAGGCAGGGAGCAGTGTCACCGCTCAGCCCCTGCCAGCGGCTCTAGTCCCATCCTCTGCGGACCCAGCAGGGCACGCAGGCAGGGAGCAGTGTCACCGCTCAGCCCCTGCCAGCGGCTCTAGTCCCATCCTCTGCGGACCCAGCAGGGCACGCAGGTCTGGAACCCACACAGCACAAGGCCTCGGGCCCTGAGGCTTTGCTTCTGGGCAAGTATTCAGCTGAGGTGGGGGAGGGGGCGGGGAGGTGGGAGGGAGAGTCCAGGAAGAGAGTCCAGGAAGAGAGGTCACGGTGAGGGTGGACAGGGAGAGCCACACAGCTCAGAAAAAGTAGCCCTCCTGGCATCAGAATGCCAGCCCAAAGCCCTCACACACCTGATTGTCCATCCAGCTTCTTTGGCATCGTTTCCTTCACAAGATTATAGACTTTCTCTAACCTGAAGAGAGGAGTAAACCCTTGTAACTTTAAGCCACGCCCCCTGCCATCTGACTCCCAAAGGAAACAATCCCTCTTCAAGCCTGGAACCTTCTGGCCCCTGAAGATACTACGTAACTAGGGCTTGGCCAGTCCTGCCTGGCCCCACACAGGCACATGTCCACTTGGTGCCCCAAGGCCAGAAGGATTCCCAGCCCTCCTCCCCATCCCCCAGAATGTGTCAGTTCCTGCAGAGGGTGGTGTGTGTGTGTGTGGTGGGGATGGCTGTGTCGATGCTGTGTTGGAAGGCCTCAGGTCAACCCTGTGCACCACATGGAAGAACAGTGGCCTCCCTGCCCAGCTCCTCAGAGGCCAGCTGGGGGCCCACCCAGCGAGCTCACTTGGCCTGGATGCTGGTCCACAGCATGTGCTGCCGCTGGACCACGTCCGGGTGCTTCCTGATGAACTCCCCGTCGTAGGGCAGGAGGAACTCCCAGCCTTTGTTGATCCTCACCACTGCCATATGCTCCAGGAAGTCTTTCACGTCCTCAGCGCACAGCTGCAGGGAGGGGAAAGGTGAGGCCCAGCTTCCCCCATGCTGCTGCTGCCCAGGTCGGGACCAGGGGACCAGGGTTTAAACAGGACTTGGCTCCCAAACTCATGGGTGCTGGAGGGCAGGAGCGAAAGCCCGAGGTCTACAGGTCTCAGCAGCTCTGGAGAGACGGCTGTCACGGAAGCCTGTGCCAGGCCCAGCCCCTCTGACCGTGCCACAGGCTCCACAGCCACCCAGCAGAGCCCAAACCAATGCAGCTGCCTCATTCTGGACTTGAACCTCCAAAACCGTCAGCTGAATAAACTTCGCTGGGGTCCTGGGCTGCTGAGGCAACAGCTGCCAACAGGGGGCTCCACTTACTTTGGTCACCGCTGCCACCTCTTTCCTCACCACCCACCGGCTCTGCGTGAACTTCCACATCTGAGGAGAAAAAGTCACATGTTCAGGGGGCAGAGCTGGACTGCTCCTAAGTCTGTGCCCCAAGCCCACATGTCCTGAGGACCTGGGTGTGGCTCCTGGCCTCACCCTTCCTCACCATGCGGCCTTGGGCAGTCAGCTCAACTCTCTGCCTCCTCCACTTTCCCCGTATAAAGGACCCCCAAGTTCCTCTGTTCCGACGCAGTGGGACCAGAACGCCCCCCAGAGCAAAATGTTCCCAGGGCAGGGGGTGGAAAGGGTCTGCTCCTCTGGGTCACGGCTGCAGCCCCAACGGTCAAGGCTGCTGTGAGGATTTAGGAAGGTGACACTGGGGTTCACCACCCTTCCTGAGGCCCTGCCACCCTATACCCCACCTTGCCTCAGGAGCTCTCAGGCCCCAGGATGGCTTCCAGAAGGACAGAGATGGGGATGGACGCTTGGGAGACACACAGGAAAGGATGACTGAGTCTCACCTGGGACCACTCGGGTCCCATCCCTAGGCCCCCTCCCGTTTCAGCACTGCACAACCCGTGAAGGGCGAGCAAGCAGGGCAGCTGGGGGCAGATCACACCTGTGCCTGGGAGCCACTGCTGCCCCCTGACACCTACAGATGCATGTACACTGCTCAGGCACCAACCTCCCAAGGAGCTGGGAGACTGCATCAGGACGAGAGGAAAGGCGCTCTCTTCCAATACCTCGGTCTGTATGTGAGCACATCACGGCACCAGGCACAGCTCCGAGGACACTCGAAGCTACAGCACAATGCTGAGCACTGGGAGGCAGTGCAGGTCCCAACAGCACAGGGTTCAGGGTCTTGGGAGGGATTAAGCCCCAGCTACAGGTGCAGTGGGTGACAGGAAGGAGTGCTGAGCAGTGAAGGTAGCACAGGCTCAGGGGGCTCGCGCAGGGAAGCAGAGGCTCTGGAACAGTGGTGAATCGGAATCCGTAAGCCTCATCAGCGCCACGTGTGGCCATGGGTCAGTGGTGCCAGACTGATTTCCCTGACAGCTAGAACTCTGCCTCATGTCAAGCTTTCGATTTGTACAAATCGACGCCAAGGCACTATTTTAAAAACACCACGTAGGCCCATTGAGGAACGCTCCTGGGCCAGAACACAGCCCCTTTGCAACTCCTAGCACAGAGGAGCTCACAGCTACTCAGAAGCCTGAGACTCCAGGATCCACGAGGAAGGGGCATAGAGGCTGCAGCCAGGGCCCCCAACAGCGCGGGCTCCTGCACCTGCCAGCCCCGCCTCTCGGCTGGAGCGCCCCACCCACAGCAGAGGCCAAGGTCCTCGGAAGACCTGGGCTGCCCACATCTTCCTCCCTCACCCCAGAGGGAAGCCAGAGAGCTCCCGGTACTTACGACGAAGTCTCGGCCCCTGCAGAGCACCTCCGCAGGCACACCACTGTGAGGGCTGGACGAGTCCTTGGGGTACAGGATGTCACTGTCAACACAAGCAAGGGTGAGGTGGCAGGTCAGTCCCTGTCCTCATCCATTCCCCAACTCTCCACCAGAGCTGAAGTCCAGGCCTTGCACTCACCGTCTAAGCCCCAGCCCAGTCCATGCCTCTTCCTAATCCAGGCAGGGCAGGTGCAGGCTTGAGCCCACAGCACACCTCGTAAGATCCATGAACACACATGGAAAAGCACCTCCTGCTTCCCCCAAGACTTCTTCGTCCTTCCCCTTTTCCACCTACCTCTCCCTACACTGGCCCACCCACTGCATGTTCAGGGAGGATTAGGGGCCCAGAGATGGACAAGCCTGGAACCTCAAGGAGCCCAGGACTCTTTGGAGGACACCAGTCCCACAGATGAAGCGTGTGTGACACCAGGGAAAACTGGTAATGAGGCAATGCACCTAAAGGACTGAGTAAGCTGAGGTCAGAGGTCAGAAGCCACAGAGTTGATGCTGCGATGGGTGTGAGCAGGCCCCAGGACACGGGTAGAACATGAGACTTTGGAGAGAACACAACCAGCCCAGAGAACTTCAGAGTACAGGCCTGGGGTGAAGGTGTCTTTGAGCAGGGTCCAGCCAGGACCCTGCAGCCCTGGAGCACAGCCTACCACCCCAAGCCAGCCCACACCTGTGGGACCTGTGTTCCCTCTACAGGAGGCCCTCCCTTCACCCCTGCTCAATCCTACCTGGCAACCAACTACTATGCAGTCTCTCAGGCTGGGCACATGGGGTGGAGGCCTAGGTTGTTCTGCCAGGGAAGGGACCTGCTAAGTGTGTGCCAGACCAACCCCTGGCCCACAAGCTGCCTGGGGACAGCAGGGACAGCACCTGAAGGAGAACAAGGACACCGCACAGGACCATCAAGACACATCACTAAACAACCTTGTCAATTTGGCCTACTCTGCCCCCAGATGCAAAGGGACAGGGCACGGAAGGGGCGCTCCCCACAGAGCTCCAGCACAGCCACATGGGCGGTATCAGAGGAGGGTTGCAGGAATACTGGGGTAGGCAGAACACGCGAGTTCCAAGCCACAAAGGCAGCACTGTCAGGGCACACAGCACCAGACAGAGCTCAAGCTGAGTCATGAAGCTCAAGATTTCTTTTTCTCTCCTTAATAAAAAAAAAAAAAAATTATTTTTTGGAAGATGGAAAGAAGACAGAAAGATCTCTCATCTGCTGGTTCACTCTCCAAATGCCCTCGACAGCCAGGGCTGGGCCACGCTGAAATCAGAAGCCAGGAGCTCCATCTTGTCTCCCACATGGGTGTAGAGGACCAAGTACTTGAACTGTCACCTGCTGCCTCTCAGGGTACACACTAGCACAAAGCAGAGATGGGACTTGTACCCAGCACTCCGATATAAGATGCAGGTATCCCAAGAGGGGCACTCACTGCTCACGTTCGAACCCAGCTCTGTGGCTGCCCTGCTGAAGGACACCGGGCAAACTCCTTTGCTCCTCTGGGCAGAAGTCCTCAGCTGTGTGCAGGGACAGCCACCCCTACCTTTCACGCATTCATGGCCTAAACACACACATATGGTCCCATTTAATAGGTGACAGGCCTTCGCAAAGCTCTTCCATAGTGAAACGCTGGTGGAACACTGGACAACAGCCGCAAGGAACTGACAAAGTGTGTCGAACATCTGTTTCCCAGAGAACAGTGCCACCATGTGGCCACAACATGCATATTTGGCCAACCAACTGTGAAACAATGGACCTTTTGCAGTCACTTGTTTTCTAAATTTGGAGTAACTAACGTGTCAGATTGTCCACCTATACCACACTATTAAAAAGTGAGTCTTTATTAATGCACTTTACATTATCCCATTCAGAAAGTAATATAATTCGCATGTGCATAAAATATAGCCACCCGCATGTACCAAGGGCATACTGTGTGTCTCCACTCCCTTGAAACTGGTGGTCTCATGGAGGCGCAGATGGGCTTGTGGAGGGCTCACTACTGAATGTGTCAAGCCACCACTCAAGACTTAAGCACTCCAACAAGACACAAAATCCACACTTGGACACAGCATAAGCCAAAACAAACAGAAATTCCTAAAAGCAGCCAGAGGCAAACACATCGATTTCCTTCAAAGAACCAAGAATTAGACAGTGGACTTGTCAACAGAAATGGCAAAGTCAGAGTAAACAAAATTACAGCAACACGTGGAAGGGCAATAATTGCCGACCTCAATTTCTGTCCTCTGTATAAACACCGTTCAAGAACAAAAGTAAGGGGCCAGTGCTGTGGCGCAGCGGGTTAACATGCTGGCCTGAAGTGCCGGCATCCCATATGGGCGCCGGTTTGAGACCCGGCTGCTCCACTTCCCATCCAGCTCTCTGCTATGTCCTGGGAAAGCAGTGCAAGACGGCCTAAGTCCTTGGGCCCCTGCACCCACGTGGGAGACCCGGAAGAAGCTCCTGTTGCGGCCAATTGGGGAATGAACCACTGGATGGAAGACCTCTCTCCCTCCCTTCCTCCCTCTCTCTCTCTCTCTCTCTGCCTCTTCTCTGTGTAATTCTGACTTTCAAATAAATAAGTAAATCTTTAAAAAAAAAAAAGTAAAAAATAGACATTTCCAGATAAACAAGGAAGTCATCACCTGCTGACCTGCACTGAAGTAAAGATTATGGCACTGTTTAGGCAGAAGGCTATCACCCCAGAGACAAACTTAGACACTGAAAGGATGCTGAGCAAAATAAAAAGGCCAACACATGAGAGAATGTGGAGAATTCTTTCTACATTTGGTAATGTCTTGTGAGGTTTGAAACAGAATTAAAGTACACAGATGCTCTTCAATCTAATAAATTGATCACCAGTTAAAACTACCGTAAATCAAAAATGTTTTTAGAAACAGGTGTTTGGTACAATGGTTAAGATGCCACTTATGATGCCCAAATCCCATACTGGAGTAGGCAGGTTCCAGTCCTGGCTCTGCTTCCAATTCCAGCTTCCTACTAACACACACCCTAGGAAGCGGAGGTAATGGCTCAAATAGTGCTGCCACCCCCATGGGACACCTGGATTGAGTTCCAGGCTCCCGGCTTCAAAGCATGGCCATGGCCCAGTTGCTGTGGGAATGTGGGGAATAAGACTGCCTCTGTGCCTGTCTCTGTCTTCCTCTGCCTTTCAAATAAATGTCCTTTAAAATGCACTGAATATACCGAACCTACCAACCACCCTAGCTTAGCAACACAGGGCACTGGAAAGCATCGGTTTTCCCCTCGTGATTACCTGACTGGTGGGAGCTGTGTTTGAAGCCACTGCCAGCACGAGAGAAGATGGGATCACAAATTTCTGGCCCAGGAAAGGATCTCAATTCCAAACCTAAAGTATGGTTTCTGCTGAATGTGTATCACTTTCACACCATCATAAAGTCAACAAAATTACAAGCCAAATCATCAGGAGTCAGGGGCCATCTTTACAAATACAATGGCATATGAGTTGGAGGAGGGCAAATATAAGAGTCTAAGGTCTCTGAACTGAATTAGAAGAGAGTAATGAGCAGCTATCATTTCAACTGTGATGGAGGGAACTGTGGAGTGCCCAATAAAAGAATCAAGAGAAAAGAGGTTCCACATTTGCAGGAAAACCATGGGACACGAAAAGGCAGCCGGCAGAAGGGAAGAATGAATATCAAACAAACACAGGCAGGACAGACAGACATCAGAAATTATATAAATGTAAAGGGTCAGGCGCTCTCACCAACAGACCACAAAGCAACCTACCTCTTCACCACCCAGTTTCCTTGGACTAACATCGCCACCTTCTGGATGCCACGCAGAACAGCTACAGAGTCGACAGAGGGGCCCAGGAGGCTCATCAAGTTGGCAAAAGGCATGACCTTCACTGGAGGAGGAGCAGGAGACATTAGACAGGGAAGCAGGCCTGGCCCTTATTGTCTCCACATCCGCCCCCTACAGCCCACACAGCTTCATCCCCAAAACGTGGATGACAACACTGGCAGTAGTAATGGCTGACGGTCCCGAGCTGCTCAGCACTGTGCAGACCATGGAACCCTTAAAGATTCCACTAGAAAGGAGCCCCTGAGGGAGACAAGGAGAATCTTGGGAGGACCATTCTACTACTACTCCCCATAGCTTTTGAGCCAGTAAGCGGCAGGGCCAGGACTGGAGCCCAGGCCACCTGGCTCCTTCAGCACTGTGTTCTGCCCACCCCGAGTGAGCATGGGCAGGGCCTGGGAGGGTGCAGAGGCCATCAGCCCAGAATCCTGGCAGCTGCAGGTGCAACAGGGAGCTGTCCTCCACTCAGGGGGCACAGATCTCCCGCTGGCATCTCAGAGGAGCCCAGGCCTGGGACGTGGCTCAATTGAGCAGTCAGCTCTGCTACCTATCAGCAATGGCCCCTAGAGGATCTGGCCCTGAGTCTATGGAGAAAAAAAAGCCAGTTCTTAGGGTACAGATGCTAGCGAAGGCTCCATAGAACCATGCAGGTCAAAGCAGTTTACCATGAGAACAACCCTAGTTCCTGTCACATGCAGGCTGTTCTAAGTCCTTTAGAAGTCCCATCTTTCTCAGTCCTCACATCAACCCAGCAACTTGCATTAGTCTCTTCACAGATAAACAGCCAAGACTGAGAGAGGCAGCGAGAACCCGGCTGACACAGGCAGAGTGGTGACGACAACAGCTGAGGGGTCTGCAGCAGCACTATCCACCAGCCCTCTCCCGCAGTCAGGCTGTCCCAGACTCCACTTGCCCTAGTGCCAGCGGGGCTGAGGTCTCCGGGAGGGCAGAGCGGCACCCACCATTCTTCATCAGGATCTTGATCTGGTCGGCCAGGGGCAGGGTGCGCAGCTGGGCCATGGACAGGACATTGCTGGGGGCCACGGGCTTCTCTCTGTGGGAAAGGCAGTGAGGGCTTAGCGGAAGCCAGCTGGGGCGAAGGGCCACCCGCCCGCCTCTACTCACTTCTCTTCCTCCTGGCTGGGCGGCATCAGCATCATGAGGTACTCACTGTAGGGAGAGAAGGAAGACTCAGAGCTGGAGCAGCCTCACCAGCAGCCCCAGGACAGGGTTTGGGAGGGGTGCAGACAGCTTCATGCAGCCCTCAGCTCACATGAACACCCCCACAGAAAAGGGATCACCTCCTCCCAGGCCCTCCCTCCTGACCCTCTCCAGAGGACAGGGTGGGATCCTCCCTCATGCCAAGAAAGGCGCCACAGTTCGGGGAGCCCACACGGCAGGTCCCTCCCGGGCCACTGGCCAGCCAATCCCACCTGGGCGACTTGATCAGCTCTGTGTTCTCCACCCCGCTGGAGCCCTGACACAGCAGGTACTGGCGCTCGTGCTCAGAGCGGCTGTCCTATTGGGGAGGGGAGGGAGTTTCAGCCAATACCCAGACCCTGGCATCTCTCCAGGCCACCCCGCCATCCACAGTTCTCACCCCTGTATCACCTTCCATTCCAGCCTCCTGCTGTCCCACTCCAAGGCCAGCCACAGACCATGCCCAGCCTCCTAAGCATGGCCCTTTGGCCTCTATGATGCACCTTCCACCAACCCTCCTGGCTTCACAGCCTACCCAGCCCCAGTGCCAAAGCACCCAGTCTGCAATGCAGAACAACACCAGAAGCAATTCAGATAGCAACTAACATACACCAAGCACCTAAGACATGCCCAGCTCTGTTCTGATGGTTGGGTAATAACAACACGGCTGCAAAGTAACTCCATGACATTACTGCTTTTCCCCCTTCACAAATAAAAAAATCGTGGCTCAGACTTTTTGAAGTCACATAATAAGCAGCAGCAGTGTCTAGAAAAGTCTGACCTCCAGTTTAATGCTCTTGACAATGCAAATCTCTTTGAAGGAAGTTCCCAGAGGAATCAGGAGTTGCCCTCTCCCCCACGTTGGGAAGCCCTAGGCCATCTTGTCTTTGGAAGCTAATATTCAGTTGCTTCCCTCATGCAATACTGAGTCAAGATTAGGTTCTAAAGTCAAGGCAGGAAAGGAAAACTGAGTATAGTAAACCCCTCTGGGAGGCAAGCCAGGAACTTTGGGGCATAGGACAGATGGCAGGTTCTACCACATGGCCAGGTGAAGGGTGTGGCCTGTGCTCAGGGCCCATGTTACATGAAAAATTCATGACAGAGATCAAAATGGAAGAACAGGGAGGGAGCTTACTGCTCTAGTCTAAAGGAAGACAGTTTAAAAAACGTGGGGGAGTCGGCACTCTGGCATAGGTTAAAGCCCCAGTCTGCAGTGCCGGCATCCCATATGGACAGCGGTTTGAGTCCCAGCTGCTCCACTTCTGATCCAGCTCTCTGCTGTGGCCTGGGAAAGCAGTAGATGGCGGCCCAGGTCCTTGGGCCCTGGCACCCACAAGGAAGACCCAGAAGAAGCTCCTGGCTCCTGATTCGGATCAGCGCAGCTCCAGCCATTGCAGCCATCTGGGGAGTGAACCAGCAGTTGGAAGAACTCTCTCTCTCTCTCTCTGCCTCTCCCTCTCTCACTGTGTAACTCTGACTTTCAAGTAAATAAATAAATCTTTAAAAAAAAAAATGTGGAGAGAGTACAAGCTCAGGGAAGGGTTAGGGAGAAAATGGCAGAGGAAACTCCATGTAAATCAGAGGGACAGTGGATCTGCGTGGAGGGTGTGGATGCGCACAGCTCAGGACCCCAGCAGCCGCGAACCTCAGCACCAGCTTTGGAGAATTAGGTGAGACCAGACTGCAGCAGCCCAAGCCACTGGCGATAAAACTGCAGGAAGAGCCAGGCATGAGTCTGCCTTGGAGCCCTGTGGGGGACAGTGTACCTGCCAACCTAGAGGAAAAAGAAGGAGGGCACATTCCTCTCTCTCCCCAACCACCCAGCACTGGCGTCCAGCACTGCTGTCCTGTAACCACCCGAGAGGCCAGGAGCCATTCTGGACATACACAACATCTGCCCCCGCTCGGGTCCCATGCCTAGCAATCAGCTGAGAGGAGACACCCAAGTCTGGCTGGGAGCACTGACAGGGGGCTGGGTGCTTGTGACTGCAGGACCCTTGTATGCTGGGACCGTGAAAACACTATGGCTGCGTGTGAAGGTGCAGGGTGTGGCAGGGTCTTTGGGCAGTCACTGTGGGCAGCTCCACATGCTCAGGGCTCCCTGATTCCCTGGTGAGGGTCACTGCTGCGGGATCTGTGCTCACACTGAGGGTTGCACGGATCCTTTGTGTGGTTCCTGTGGCACCATGAACGAGTATTATACCCACTGGGGCTAGCGACCAGGCACTGGTCTCCCTGGAAAGGAGATGAGCATGAGACTATATATACCAGAGCAGATTAAACCTCCCCTCTGATTAAAAAAAAATTTACCATGCCCAATTTGGGTGTCACCTTGGACAGTCCCCTCATCCTAGAGCACTGAACAGAGCTTCCTGGCCACACCCAGCACATGCCTCTGGGTATTCACTGAAAGAGCAGACACTCTACTAATCCACAGGGGTACAATCCAAAGATAAAAGCCCAGGGCCCAGCACTGTGGTGTAGTGGGTGAGGCCACCTGCAGTGCCAGCATAAGTCCTGGCTGCTCCACTTCCAATCCAGCTCTCTGCTATGGCCTGGGAAGGCAGCAGAAGATGGCCCAAGCCCTTGGGCCCCTGCACCCGCATGGGAGACTGGGGGGCGGGGGGGCCCTCCTGGTTCTTGGCTTCAGATAGGTGCAGCTCTGGCCATTGCGGCCAGTTGGGGAGTGATGGAAGACTTCTCTCTCTGCCTCTCCTTCTCTCTCTGTGTAACTCTGACTTTCAAGTAAAATAAATAAATTTTAAAAAAAAATTGAGTATAGAATTACCTAAAAGTAATCAGAAGCAAATCCACGAATTAAAGAAATTCAGGGGCCAGTGCTGTGGTGCAGTGGGTTAACGCCCACACCTGCAGCTCTGCCATCCCATATGGGGCTGGTTCGAGTCCCAGCTGCTCCACTTCTGATCCAGCTCTCTGCTTATGGCCTGGGAAAGCAGTAGAAGATGGTCCAAGTCCTTGGGCCCTGCACCCATGTGGGAGACTCAGAAGAATCTCCTGGCTCCTGGCTTCGGATTGGCTCAGCTCCAGCCATTGCAGTCTAACTAGACCTCTCTGTCTAACTCTGAACTCTTTCAAATAAATAAAATAAATCTTAAAAAAAAATTCATAGATGACATGAAAGGAAATTTCTCCCATGAAATTGAGATTTTTAAAGAGAAATCAAAATATTGGAAATGAAGAATTCAATAGATCAAATTAAAAATGCAGTGGAAAGCCTTAATACTCTTGGTGAAGCAGAAGAAAGAATATCTGAGTTAGAAGATAAATCTCTGGAAATTTTAGATCAAAAAAAAAAAAAAAGAAATCAGAAAGCTAAAAAACAGTGTTGGAGACCTTTGGGATACTACTAATAGTTTTGAAGGTGTTAAAAGAATAAGGTAGAAGGCCTTTTTAGTGAAATAGTTACAGAAAACTTCCCTAATTTGGAGGAAGAAAGGGACATCCAAGTAAAGGAAGCACATAGAACTCCTAATAGACATGACCAAAAAAGATTCTCACTACGACACATTGTAGTCAAACTCTCCACAGTAAAACACAAAGAAAAGATTCTAAAATGTACAAGAGAGAAATACCAGATTACTTTCAGAGGATCTCCAATTAGACTCACATTGACTTCTCATCAGAAACCCTACAGGCTAGGAGAGAATAGCAAGATACATTCCAAGTCTGAAGAGAAAAAAACTGAACCCAGAATACTATACCCTGCAAAGCTCTCATTTACGAATGAAAGTGAAATAAAGATCTTCCATAACAAACAGAAATTGAAAGGATTTGTCACCACTTGTCTAGCCTTACAAAAGATGCTTAAGGATGTGTTACACACAGAAACACAGAAACATGGTGATCACTATGAAAGAAGGTAAAGGCAGAAAAATCACCCAGTAAATGTACCTAGGAAATCCAAAGTAAACAATAGGAATATTTAGGGAAAAACGGCAGAGCCAAGTTGGTATTTATCAACAGTCACCTTGAATGTAAATGGCCTCAACTCTCCAGTTACAAGATAGAGACTGGCTGAATGGATTAAAAAACAAAACCCATAAGAAGCACATCTCACCAACAAAGATACATGCAGACTGAAAGTAAAAGGATGGAAAAATGGAAAAAGATAGTCCATGCTAACAGAAACCAAAAAGAGCTGGTGTAGCCATCCTAATATCAGACAAAATAGACGACTTTAACACAACAACTGTTAAAAGAGACAAAGAAGGGCATTTGCAATGATTAAGGGATCAATTCAACAGGAAACTATGACTATAACAACACACCATTACAGTTATACACACCATTACAGGACATGTTAATGGATCTAAAGGGAGACATGGACTCTCATACAATAGTTATGGGGGACTTCAATACCCCATTTTCAGCAATAGACAGATCAACCAGACAGATAATCAGCAAGGAAACAACACTATAGACCAAATGAACCTAACAGATATCTCAGTACTTTTTATCCTACAGTTGCAGAATACACATGGAACTCTCTCTAGGATAGACCACAGGCAAGGCCATAAAGCAAGTCTCAGCAAATTCAAAAAATATCAAAATCATACCATGCATCTTCTCTGACCACAGTGGAATAAAGAACTCAAGAACCTCTTGAACACATACAAATACATGGAGACAGAATAACATGCTCCTGAATGAACTGTGGGTCATAGAAGAAATCAAAAAACAGGATTCTTTTTTTTTTCATACTATTTGTTGAACTCTTTACTTAGTACAGAGTTAATCTTCTGTGTATAAAGTTAATTAGAAATAGATTTTAGTTAAAAATAAAAACGGGAATAGAAGATGGAGGAGAAAGAATAGTGGGAGAGCGGACAGGAAGACTCACTATGCTCCTAAAGTTGTAGTTATAAAATGCATGACGTTTGCATACCTTAAATAAAAAGTTTCTGGGGGGGAAAAAAAGAAAAATTCATAGCCAAACACCAGCCTTGCCTGAGCCTGGCAAGACATTCACACTCCAGGGGAGCCTGAAGAAACCCTGCCTGAGACAGCAGACCAACACCTTTATCTCCTGGCCCCTTGGACCTACACTAAGAGGAGTGACAGGAATGAAAGACAAGCTACCCAAATGACTTCATCATTTCTCCATGCTATCACTGAGTGGCTACAACAGACTAGAAATAATTAAAGGTGAGCCAGCAAGGCCACGGTGTAACACTTCCAGGCACTGGGGCAGCCAGGGGCTTCTTCCAGGTCTCCCACGTGGGTGCAAGGCCAAGGATTTGGGCCAACTGCTTTTCCAGGTCATAGCAGAGAGCTGGACAGAAGTGGAGCAGCCGGTTCTTGAACTGGCGCCCATATGGGATGCCAGCACTGCAGGCAGTAGCTTAACCCACTACACCACAGCACCAGCCCCGATATTTTTTATTTTTATTTGAAAGACAAAAGGTGAGAGCAAGAGAGTAAACCATCCCAAATGCCCAGTCTGGGCTGGGCCAGGCTGAAACCAGGAACCTGGAACTCTATCCAGCAGTCCCATGCCAGTTGAGTCTCAGTTGCTCTGCTCAGCTCAGTGTTAATGGGCCTGAGAATGCAGCAGCAGATAACCCAAGTGAGGGACCGGGATGGAGCTCCTGGCTTTAGTCTGGCCCAGACCTGGTCTTGGCAGCCAACTGGGGAGTAAACCAGTAGATGGAAGACTGATGGACTGGTCAATCTCTCTTTCTTTCTCTCTCTCCCCCAACCCTCCCCCTGCCAACCTCCACCCTCTCCCTCTTTCTTTTTTTTTTTTTTTTTTATATTTTTTATTTTTTTGACAGGCAGAGTGGACAGTGAGAGAGAGAGACAGAGAGAAAGGTCTTCCTTTTGCCATTGGTTCACCATCCAATGGCCGCCGCGGCCGGCGTGCTGCGGCTGGCGCACCGCGCTGATCCGATGGCAGGAGCCAGGAGCCAGGTGCTTTTCCTGGTCTCCCATGGGGTGCAGGGCCCAAGGACCTGGGCCATCCTCCACTGCACTCCCTGGCCACAGCAGAGAGCTGGCCTGGAAGAGGGGCAACCGGGACAGAATCCGGCGCCCCAACCAGGACTAGAACCCTGTGTGCCGGCGCCACAAGGCGGAGGATTAGCCTAGTGAGCCGCGGCGCCAGCCTCCCTCTATCTTTCAAACAAATAAATCTTTTATTAAAAAAAAAAAAAAATGTGGAACTGGGACTCGAACCCAGGCACTCTGATAGGGGATCCAAGTGTCCTAGGCAGCATCTTACCCACTGCACCAAAGGCCTGGCCTGCACCAGGGCTTTTCTCCCAAGACCTCCTCCTGGGGCCAGCATCGGCAGCCCGGCAGCCCCAGCTCACCCTCAGGCCATAGTAGTGCAGGTGCACCCAGGGTTCCTCCGCATGCTTCTTCTGCAGGAACTCATAGGACTGCACTCGGCGCTGGCGGGCCTGCTCTGACTCCGGCCGGGAGAACCGCACCTGCATGTGGGACAGGAAAGAGGTCACGCCTTTGGGCCAGTGACCACTCCTGGGCCGCCATCCCAACCCCTGCTCAGACAGCAGGAACTCCACTTCGGGTATTCCCACTCCCAGCTCCCTCACCACTTCTGACACATCCTTCCTCACGAGCCGCCAACGAGAAGGGAGAACTCTCGTACTTCGGCCTTCCCGTGGCCCAGAGGCTTTGCTGGACCATAGAAGCCTGGGTGCTAGGGCAGAAGGCCTTTAAAGCACACAGACAGGCCTGACGCTGCCTGTTAAGTGAGGGCTGTGAGTCACAAGGCGGGGGCAATAATAGAGCTCGTTAAGGGTGCCCACCAAGCTACTGAGGACAAGACAAGCCCAAGCAGCCTGAGCACTGCCCCCTACGCCACTGATGCCAGCCCCTGCCCCTCTCTGAGGGGCTGTAGACACTGACCACTACAGCCTCACTTGTGTAACCAACTATGTCACTCTCTGTGCATCATTTCTCTTTAATAGGCTTAAATAGGAGAAACATAATACACCACAAATGGAAAGTCAATATTCATCTAATTATCTTCAAAATTCAGAATTAACTATTAAAATGGAACCTGTTCATCATGCCCACTGAAAGACAGAATCTCACAGTTAATAAACATGGGACTCGGGCTCGCCAAGATCTCAGCTATCATATGTAAGCAGGGCTGTCCTGCTCATGGTTGTAACAACCCAGGAGCCTGGCAGAAGGGTGAGGGGACAGATGCTCCACGCCTGCATCCCCCACAGAGGGAGAAGCCCTTAAGCTCTTTCTGGAGCCAGCACTGTGGCATAACTAAGGAGCCACTTCCAACGACAGTATCCCATATGGGTGCCAGTTCGAATCTCAGTTGCTCTGCTTCTGATCCAGATCCCTTCTGATGCACCTGGGAAGGCAGTGGGAGACAGTCCAAGTCTTGGGGCCCCTGCACCCATAGGGAAAACCAGAAGCTCCCGACTCCTGGATATAGCCTGGCCCAGCTCCGGCTGTTACAGCCATTTGGGGAGTGAACCAGTGCATGGACACGTGCTCATGCTCTCTAACTCTGCCTTTCAAATAAATAAAAAGATAAAATCCTCAAAAAAAAGGGGGGGGGGGGCGGCACTGTGGCATGGTGGGCTAAGCCTCTGCCTGCAGCTCTGGCATCCCACATGGGCAACGGTTTGAATCCTGGCTGCTCTAATTCAGCTCTCTGCTATGGCTAGGAAAGCAGTGGAAGATGGCCCAAGTGCTTGGGCTCCTGGAAGAAGCTCCTGGCTCCTGGGTCCAGATCAGCCCAGCTCCAGCCATTACGGCCATTGAGGAGTGAACCAGTGGATGGGAGACCTTTCTCTCTGCCTCTCTCTCAATGTCTGTAACTGCCGCCCCCTCCATCCCTCCTGGGCCAGAGCTCACCGTGATCTGCTTGACATCCTCTTCTGCCTCGTCCTGTGAAGAGTCCCCTGCTGCAAGAGAAACAAGCTGCTGCCTAGAGCCTGTGTGGAGCAGCTCTCTCCGCTCCAACCTACTCTGGCGGTCAACCCCTGCCCTGGGGAGGCCTCAGGCAGACTGCCTGTCAACACTCCTAGGAGGAGTCAGTGGTTCTGGGAGCAATTTTACTCACTGAGCACATTTGGCCACATGTGGGGTACCATTTTTGGTCATCACGAGTCGGGATGTGCAACTGACATCCAGTGGGTAGAGGCCAGGCAGGGCTGCACCTTGTATTCCAATCCCTTTGATCCTTTTTCCCCACACAAGCCATCTTGCTGGACAAACAGCAGGGCTGAGGATTCAGGCTCACCCTCATTGGCTGCTTCCCTCTCCCGGTGCTTAGCATCTGCCTTATCCAGGTAGGAGAAGCTGGGCCGCAGCTGCAGGATGCCATGTAAAGGCGTCAGGTGGAGCTCACCTGTTGAGGGAAGAAAGGCTCGGACCCGCCTCTAGGACCTGGGACTGACCTACCCACCCTGGCTCAAGGGTGTCACCAAGTCCCCTGAAGGCACAGGCCCACACTGAAACTGCTCTAACCCCCAGTGCCACCCCTCCTAGAACCTTAGACCAGCGGAACACAGCAAGCACGTGGCCCAGACCAGGTCATGAGTCGGAACTCTTCCAATTAAAGCCACTTCTTTCAGGGCTACATCCCACATACCTAGTTCTCCCCACCTGGCCCCTGCTCCTCCTCTCTGAATGGCTGGCTCCAACTGCACTGAACAACTCACATACCCCACATTCACGCGCCCCAGATACACCAGCTCTTTCCACTGCAGACCTTGGCTAGACCACCCTCCCTGCCTGCCCAAACCCACATCTCTCTTCACCCTCGCCCCCACCTCCTTCCGCCAAAATCCCAACTACTCTTGTTAAGAAGTCTGCAAGTGCCAAGGTGGCTGGAGAGGCAGCCAGTGTGTCCCTGGAGGAGTGTCCAAGGTCCCTGCCGAAGATCACGACGACTTCAGCATGAATGAGACCTGTGCCCTGGGAGGCAGGGCCAGGACGAATACTCAGTCAGTGCATGCATTAAAGAGCAGCACTCGGACGCTAGGGGCTCGCAGCCTCCTGGACCCCAGCGTGAACAGAATGCTCGATCAAGGTGTCTGTGAATGAAGGGTCCCGGCCACAAGAGACATGACCACATCCTTCACAGCATGCCCTGGGGAAGAGTTCCTAACACTACTTTTGAAACTTCTCTTTTGTTCCCTGAGTGTTCCAATGAGCTTTGCGTATTGCTTCACAGGCTCTAAACACTTAGTAAGCCCCTCACACTTTGTCCCAGTCTGACTGTGCCTCACATACCATGGAATTCACTCATTTAAAGCACTCCAGGGCCAGCACTGCAGCACAGCGAGTAAAGCCACCACCTGTGATGCCGGCATCCCATATGGCACCGTTTCATATCCTGGCTGCTTCACTTCCAATCCAGCTCCCTGCTCACGGGTCTCGGAAACACAGAAGATGGCCCAGGTGTTTGGGCCCCTGCACCCACATGGCAGACCCAGAAGAAGCTCCTGATTCTTGGCTTCAGCCTGGCCCAGCACTGGCTGTTGCGGCCATCTTGAGAGTAAACTAGCCAGGAGCTTCTTCCAGGTCTCCCATGAGGGTGCAGGGGTAAAAGGGTTTGGGCCATCTTCCACTGCTTTCCCAAGCTATAGCAGAGTGCTGGATCAGAAGCAGAGCACCCAGGGCTCAAACCAGTGTCCACATAGCACCAGCCCCTAACTCTGACTTTCAAACAAATGCAGCATACAACTCAATGTTCAGGCAGCACCACAGTCATCTTCGTCAACACAAAAAGAAGCCACCAAGTCCCACTCCACTCTACTACCAGCCCCTGGAAGCCACTAACACCCTCTCCATCCTGCCAATCTACCTCCTGGTGTGGACACTTCTGCTTGCCTCAAGGAAATGCTACCTAGGAACAGAATCACCGGGTCATAAGTCCCTTGACTTTAGAAACACACACCTGCCACTTACACTCAGAGTCAGGCTGTGCTGTGGGAGGGTCTGTGTCCCACAAGGACAATGGCGTAGAGCCCAGCCAAACAGGTCAAGCAACATCTACGGAGGCGGTTCTTTCCAGGGTCCCCCGGCTGCCATTTGTTATTTTCACACCGCCTGGTCCCCAAGAATGTCTGGTGTTTGGAGGAGGCAGAGCTGGACCCTTGGCTGGGTAAGGTCCCCCTCCCCAGGACCCCCAAGCCCCGGGTACCTTGCCTATAGAGCGCAGCCGCGTAACGAGACGTGTTAGTGGTGGTCTGGGAAGAGCAGAATGTCTGCTTGTCCATCAGTTTCCTGGGAGCACAGGGAGAACCGACGTCAAGGGGAAGGAGGTTCCAGAGTCAGGGCCTGGCAGGCACAGCCCACTCCTCCCCAGACACCAGTCAGGGACCAAGGCCACAGAGTAGCCTCCATCTGCCTCAGGAGGGGAGCTGGGGGATGAGAAAACCCACATAGTCTTGTTTGTGCACCAAGAAACAAGCAGTGCCAGGAGCTCCAGGGGCCAGCTTCCCACCCAGAACAGGAAGAACCCACTGGGACGAGCCAGCACAGGAGGGGAGAGCCTGGAACCCTGGAGGCTCCCAGCAGGAGGGGTCACTTCCGCAAGGCCTTCTGAAGGTTTGCATCTGACCAGAGGGGCTCCGAGGGCTGGGCACTCACGAGGAGTATGTGCTGGTCTCATCAGCACAAGCGCCGTCCACATTCAGTGCGATCTGCTCCCCCTTGCTGCGGCAATAGTTGGGATTCAGGGTGTCGATGGCCATCTCAAGCTCTACCTGCAGGCATCAAGCATCCCCACCAACCATGAGGACCCCCCAAGGGACTCCCCCAGCCCCACCATGGCCACCTCCTAACAGTCACTGCCCAGAAGTGGAGCTGACACCTGTCCCTGCCCCAAGGGCCCTATGGCTTCAGTCCATAAACTCAAATTCCATCAGAAATGTTAAGAGTGGGGTTTTTTGGGGGGAGGGGGCAGAGGTGGGAGGTGGGTTAGGCAGTGCTTGCACAGTCTCCCCACTTCACTCCTAAAGATCTAAATTAGATGCCAACAATTTAAAATATCAAGAGATTTCTCCTAAAATTCCCATCTCCAGCTTTTCTTGAAAGTCCCCAGAACTAGCAATCTTGAAACACCACTTCCAACGGACCACAGGGGGCTGGGGCCATGTCTTTAGGTCTCCTTGTCTGTTATCTCACTTCTTTCTAGGCACTAGACTGGCCTCACGGTCACCCAGACCTGCCCAGGCACCCAAGCTTACACTGAGACTATTTCCTAAGTCATCTTGACCCTCCTTCCTTCCTAGAGCTGCCTACCCTCTTTCTTTCTGGAAACTTCCCATCCTCAGCCTCCAAGCCTTTGCAAGCTGCTGGTTCTCCTAACTCTACTGCTCCTTCTCTGCCTCTCCCACCAGCCCTCCCTGCCCTCAGCTCAGCACACAGCAGCCCCACCTTCTGCTGCTTGGGCTTGATCTTGGCCGAGAGGTGCGGAATGTCATCGTAGGTCATCGAGGCCGGACGTACAGGATACTGGGGGAGGAAAGGAAGCTGTCAGCAACCCTGTCCAGCCCAACCAGAGCAGGGCTCCTGGGGCTCCAGCCAAGAATCAGCAGCCACCCCTAGGCCCATGAAGCAAAGACCGGAAGCCCCAGGGCCCAACAAGCCCCACAGTGAGGCTCCCCTGTGGGATCTGCTTGCAGTCCCATTCCCATCTGCTCCTCTGAGCCTCCTTCCAAATGGCAATTTTAAGATGTCTTTGACTTACAAGGGACAGGCATAAGCATCAGGAACCCAAACAGTCACCATGTGGGCTTTAATGCCCCACAGAGCATGGCCGTGAGGGTTGAGAGTAAGGGTCCAAGATCAAACGATAAGTTGATGTACCATCCAGCAAGAAATGAGGCCACAGGGAAGCAGAGGGGAAAGCCGCTGGCCAGTGTCCTTCACTGCTGCAGCAGGATGCTAACATGTGGGAACTCATGACCCTCGGCCTATGCAGCAACCTTCCCACAGTAAAACACTAGAAAGGGCAGAGCTGAGCCTCCTGCCCGCCTTGTGTAAGGTCACCTTTACACAAATGGTCCCCACTTTCACAGACTGCACACCTACGTCCACCTCATGGATGCACCGTCCCTGTCTTCATCCCAGTGTGCCACAGCGAGCTGTGATTTGAACCCAGTCTCAAAAGTCTGCCCTTCACTGCCTAGGACCATGACAGCCACAGGATGAGCCTGCTGGAGGCGAGGCACTGTGGAAAGTCAGCTCCACTACAGATCAGCTGCACTAGAACCCAAAGAAAGGGTCATTTCCTAAAAGCTCACTGAAACAGCAATACCGGGTCTCCTCTGCCTCCCAGGCTGGAGCTAGGGGTAGCTGTGATGGGAGAACAGCCTGGAACACAGCCTCTTTGAGCAAAGCACTGAAGCGTGGCTTGACTGGGACAGCCTGGAGACACTGGTCTGCCAACGCCTGGGGCAGCTCAGAGATCATGACGTCAGGCTGGGAGGGTGGTAGAGAGCATAGGTCTGGAAGCAGCCCTGGGTTCCAGTCCTAACTTTGCCACGCGTGTACTCAGGCAAGCTCTTCACCTCCCTGAGTAGCCTCACCTCACTGCCCAGGGCTGCCCTAAGAGCAGATGAAGAAGAGGCCTGGCACACCACAGATACACATAGGGTCATTAGGAACATCACTGTGCAATCAGTTAAGGATGTAGGTTCCAAAGGCCCAAAGGACAGGCTCCCCGTCCTATGGGCTGTAAAGGTAAATCTCAGGGAATGGACCCCAGGCCTCCTCCCAGCCAGGCCTGGGGCACTGCCACTGCCACCTCGTCCCAGGACCCTTCAGTAGAGGCCTCCCCGAGCCCCATTTTCTAAGGCACAACGTGGGCATAGAAGTGTCTAAAACAATCACCTTATTATTGGGGAATATAAAAATGGTACAGAAAAGTCAGGTAGTTTCTTGAAAATTAAACATCATGTGACCCAGCAATTCCACTCCTACGAACACACTCAGAGGAATGAAAACACACTGTCCACACAAGTTATACAGAAGGAGCAGGCGTTTGCAGCAGTGGTTAAGAGGCCACTTGGGACGCCCACATCCCACATTGGAGTGTCTGGGTTTCAGTCCTAGCTCTGCTCCCCATTCCAACTTCCTGAAAATGCATACCTGGTGGGCAGCAAGTAGTGGCTCAAGTACTTGGGTCCCTGTCACCCACGTGGGAAAAACAGATTAAGTTCCAGGCTTTGGCCTGGCCGAGTTCCAACTATCGCAGACGTTTGGGGAGTAAGGCAGTAGATGGGTATGCTCGCTTGTGCTCTCTCCTTTATCTAAGGGGCCAGTGTTGTGGTGCAGCAGATTAGGCTGCCACCTGAGATACTGGCATCCCACATCAGATGGCTGGTCCGTGTCCCGGCTGTTCCGCTTCTGATCCAGGTCCCTGCTAATGCACCTGGGAAGGCAGCAGATGACAGCCCAAGTACTTGGCTCCTGCCACCCATGTAGGAGACCTGGATGGAGATCCTGGCTCCTGGCTTCAGCCTGCCACAGCCCCAACCAGTACAGCTACTTGGGGAATGAACCAGCAGTTGGAAGATCTTTCTCTCCTTGTCACTCTGCCTTTTGAACAAACAATGTTCAAAGGAGCATTATTCACGACAGCCAAAAAGCACAAACCACCCCAAGGCCTGTCCTGAGAGGAAGGGAGTAACAGCAGCACTGCCCCATGGACAACGAGCTGCTGAAAACAGCGTGCACAGCCGCACACTGCACCACTCCACTCCAGCCACAGAAAACATCCAGAGCAGGCAAGCCCACTAGCACGGAAAGCAGGTTAATGGCTGCCTAGGGCAGGGTCCCAAGCCTGTTCAAGCGGATTCACTCGACCCTTCCAGGACCGAAGCAGTAAGCGTGACTACTATCTGGATTTTGCAAATGAGGACACGGAAGCACAGAGCCGTTAAGGGATTGTTCAAGGCAGGGAGCCAGGTGGTGAGGGAACTGAGTCTCAGGGCAGACAGTCTGTTCCCAGGGCCCAAGCTTTGATCACGGTACACTTCTGTCCCATGCTGCCTTGGTTTTCCCATCTTCAAAGTGAGGGGACCGTATTAACCCACCCGTGACGGCGAAGGGAACAATCTCACCACATACATGCAGGGCCAGGAGCGCTGAGCAATGTGCGTTTCCCCACCAGCCCTCCCACACTCGCTTTCGTCCCCTTTACCTCCACGTCCCATAATTACCTGGAACAAATAGAGCTTCTCTGCCAGGCTTTTGGCCAAGTACACGTCGATCTGGGAACAAGGGGAAAAAGACTTAACCAGGGGACAGGGCCAGCGTCCCGCCCCAGGCATGCACATGCTCCTCCGATCTGTCAGCACAGAGATGCAGTAGCGGAGTAGGAAGACGCTCAGCTGATGCTAGAAACAAAGGAACCAAGCCCCCAAGTGAAATAACCAGGGCTCCCTCTCAGGTCATGTTTGCCTGGCCCCTTCTCCAAGCTCACTATCACCCCTGGGCCACCCTGATCACGATGCACCAGAGAGCCAGGTTCAGACTTCGCTGAGAAAGGCAGGGTGGGGCCTATCTACCACCTGTGCTTGCTCCCTCTCTGCGCCTCCTGCCTCAGCTACCCAGGACTGGTCTACCATCCCCTCTTAATCTGCAAGGCCCTTTGTGACTCAGTTGGCCCCACTTGGTTTCTTCCCAACACTGACCACCTGCACCACCCGTACAGCAGTTTACCTTGCTGATTCTCACCTCTTCACATGAACCATGGTCTCACCCACTGCCAGATCTTTGCACACGCTCTTCCCCCAACCTGGCACTTCCTTCACACATGCCTCCCCTGAGCCTCTACTGCTCATTCATCCCTAAGAACTCAGCTGGGCCGCCCCTGGAGCAGGAAGCCAGGGCCTTAGGGTCCCCTGGGCGCCCCTACGCCATCACCAAACCCACACAGAGTCTCCTGCAACGGCAGTGCTGCCACAGCCTACAGGCATTTCAGTCCTTCAGATTCAGTAGCTGGTCGGCACCAGCCTGCCAAGGAAGAAACACCCTATTCATCTCCAGGGACCTTCTCCTTGCCTCTGCCCTTCAAACCAGAGGCCAGGCTCCACATACAAGGGACTTCAAAAAGTGAGCAGAAAAGCTAAATAAAAGTTTGTTTCAGTGCAAAAATTTTGAAATCCACAGTTTTTTCATAATGCATGTTTTCCAAAAACTTCTGATGACCCCTCATATACAAGGATTTAAAAATTTTCTGCACCAAAATAAACTAGCCTTTGAATTCCATGCTCCATAAGCCTTCTGAAGCCCCTCACAGGAGGCCGCGCTAGGAAATGCGTTTCCATTTCTAAGGTGTGGGTCCCGGCTGACTCTCAGGGGTACGTCTCACCATGAACAGCTTTCTCTTTTTATGTCCACTCTGGAAACTGCCTCCTCTCAGTTTGCATCTGGAGACCATTTCCTTGCCAACCTCACCCTCAGCTCACATGTTTTCTGGGGACAAGGCCGTTGTCCTGCTCACTGTGGGTCACAGTCCCCAGCCCACAGTGGCTCCAGTGAACTGCTGAGTGACTGAACCTGCATAAGCCCAGGAAGAAAGGGGAGCTGTCCAATCCAATCCACTCACTCGCTCAGCTCACTGAGTTATCTACGAAGTGCCAGGCACCTACTCAGCTTCGCAGACACACAGTGGGCACAACCAGATCCTGCCCTCACAAAGCTTATTTTCTAGGGAAAGAAAGAGACAACAAGCAAATGATGACAAGTGCTATGGTCAAGTACAAGGCATGGCCAAGGAAGAGTGCAAGGGAGACGTGGGGGGAGGGGGAGCAGGGAGACAGCACTGTGGATGGTAGGTCAGGGAAGCAGTGAAGCTATCTCTCTCTCATGAGATGACGCTGGATCAGAGACCTGAAGGGAGGGAGGGGCGGGCCATGATGGCATCTGGAGGATGGCAGAGTTCCAGGCAGTAGGAACAGCAAAGAACAGGGGTCCCCTCGAGGCCAGCAGATCCAGACCAGCCTGAGAACCCAGTCCCAATTCCACTGCCGGTGGCCTGGAAAGAGGGTGGAGAACAGCAGTTACCTCCTGTACAACTGGGTCATCCTCTTCATTGGCCATACTAGGGGACAGCCAGCCACGCAGTCCCCAGACTCAATCTGCAAGAAAGAGGGAGAGATGGGGACCATCAGTCAGTCACTCAACCAACATTTCTGGGACACGTATTCTGCAACAAGCCCTGAGCTACAAGGAAGGAGCCTGAGACAAACACTAAGCTTCTTCCCCTGCCTGTCACACGGTCAACAATGGACAGCCAGGGCCAGTGTCATGGCACAGCGGGCTGGGCCATCACCTGGGATACCAGCGTTCCATGTGGCTAGCAGTTCAAGTCCCAACTGCTCCACTTTCGATCCAGCTCCCTCCTAATGTGTCTGTGAAAGCAGCAGAGGATGGCCCAGGAGCTTGAGCCCCTGTCACCCATGTCTAAGACCTGGATGGAGATCCAGACTCATGGTTTTGACCTGGGTCAGCCCCAGCCGTTGTGGCCATTTGGAGAGAGAACCAGCACATAGACAATCTCTATGTAACTCTGCCTTTCAAATAAATAAATAATGGGGCCCAGCGCTGTGATGCAGTGGGTTAACACCCTAGCCTGCAGTGCCGGCATCCCATATGGGTGCCGGTTCGAGTCCCGGCTGCTCCACTTCCGATCCAGCTCCCTGCTATGGCCTGGGAAAGCAGTAGAAGATGGCCCAAGTCCTTAGGCCCCTGTACCCACGTGGAAGACCTGGAAGAAGCTCCTGGCTCTTGCCTTTGGATCAGCGCAGCTCTGGCCGTTATGGCCATCTGGGGAGTGACCCAGCGGATGGAAGGCTTCCCTCTCTCTGCCTCTCCTCTGTATAACTCTGACTTTCAAACAAAAATAAATCTTTAAAAAAACCCAAAAAACAAAAACCACTACTTGTTTGGTTTTCCCCATAAAAAATAAATAAATAATTCTTTTTTTTAAAAGGAGGTCCTTTTTTTTTAAAGATTTATTTATTTATTTGAAAGTCAGAGTTATACAGAGAAGGAGAGGCAGAGAGAGGTCATCCATCCGCTGGTTCACTCCCCAATTGGCCATAATGGCTGTAGCTGCACCAATCCAAAGCCAGGAGCCAGGAGCATCTTCTGGGTCTCCCACACGGGTGCAGGGGCCCAAGGACTTGGGCCATCTTCTACTGCCTCCACAGGCCATAACAGAAAGCTGGATTGGAAGTGGAGCAGCTGGGACTCAAACCAGAGCCCATATGGGATGCTGGCACTGCAGGTGGCAGCTTTACCCACTATGCCACAGTGCTGGCCCCAATAAATAAGACTTAAAAAACAAAAATGGACAGCCAGCTATACACCCCAACAGCAATCACACAAAATAAAGAGAAAACCAACAAAGCAATGGGCACGAGCCAACACACATTAGCCAGGCCTCTGGGAAAAGTAAATGACTGAAGGGCCTCTTGCCACTCGCCGAAGAGAATGACCAGTAGGCAGGAGGATGGAGGCTGCTGGTCCACAGCCATGACTGAGACAAAGCTCAAAGCCAGATAGAAGCAGGGAGAGAGATCAGCCCAGACTCTCCAGGGACTCAGGACTTTGACATTTGACTCTCAAGCTCACTTTAACTCAAACCCCAAGTGAGGACACTTCCTTGTTTGGGGCCTAAAATGACCCTCTTCACATGCTGCACTCACATGTTCAAGGAAGAGACCCCCACTGTATAAAAGAGAGGTGCTCAGAGACACCGACGCGGCTCTACTCAAGCAAGACTGACAGACTTCAGCTCCAGGCCCTGTGACTTCAAGTAGAGTTCTAAGGACAGCAGAAAGGATGCATGGGCCAGGCCCCAACAGAAAGATCCGGACAAACCATGCACGGCAAAGGGGCAAAACAATCCCAGGTGACAGGAAGCACCTTACTAAGTACCTAAGGCAGGACAGCTGAGGGTAGGTGACTCACTCAGATGGAATGGGTAGAAACCCACAGACTTCAGCAGTCCCCAGACCTCTGCTTCTGGGCAAGTCCATCCCAGCTTTTGTTTGTCTACTTAACATTTCAACTATGTAACATTTAGAAGGGGACAAGGGGAGGAGGGAGTGGACACTGCCCTATGGCTTAGGGGTTAAAGCAGCCTGTGTCCCATATGAGCACCGGTTCAAGTCCTGGGTGCTCCACTTCCAATCCAGTTCCCTGCAAAGGCACCTGGCAACAGTGCAAAATGGTCCCCTGCACCTACATGGGAGACCCAGATGAAGCTCTGGCTCCTGGCTTCAGATCAGGCCAGCTCTGGTCATTGCAGCCATTTGGGGAGTGAACCAGTGGATGGAAGACCTCCCTCTCTGTCTCCAATTCTACCCTTCAAACAAGTAAATCAATTTAAAAAGGGTGGGAGCCATGATGCGGCCAGCACTGTGGTGTAGCAGGTTAAACCTGCAGCACCAGCATCCCATACCAGCACCAATTTGAGTCCTGGGAAAGCAGCAGAAGACAGCCCAAGTGATTGGGCCCCAGCACCCACATGGGAGACCCAGAAGAAGCTCCTGGCTTCAGCCTGGACCAGCCCCAGCCATAGCGGCCATTTGGGAAGCAAACTAGCAGATAGACAATCTCTCTCTCTCTGCCTTTCAAATAAGTAAATCTTAAAAAGAAAAAAGATTTAGAAGGGCATGGTGGCTTCATCATGGGATTTAATGTCATCTATAAGTCCCTTCCTCTCCCCAGACACCACCTGAAGTCCCCTCACTGATTACAGACACATATCCTGAACCTGAGACCACTCAGGCCCAGACAATGGCAGCACCCTGGACACTTCTCTTCCTGTCACCCTAAACCAGCAAACCCTGTCAACTCCACATTGAGGACACCTCCATCTCTTCCCAGGGTCACGGAGATGGCCTGCTGGATGATCTCCCCCTCCCACTGCACCCCCTGTAATAGCCAGTGACCTTCTGGAAACTAAGTCAGATGGTGTGGCTGCACAGAAACCTTCAGCAGCTAGCAGGTAGCCTAGCTGTTAAGACAGCCAAGTCACCCAGAGCCCAGGTTCAAGTCCAGGCTCCACCCAATTCCAGCTTCAAACTAACATGCTCCCTGGGAGGCAGCAGATGACAGCTCAAGTGTCTGAGTCCCTGCCACCCAGGTGGGAGACCTAGATTGTATTCCCAGCTCCAGGCTTCAGCCTCGCCCAGCTCTGGTGTTGCAGGCTTTTTGGAGAATGAACCAGCAGATGGAAGCTCTCGCTTTCTCTCTCTTCCTTCATCTCTCTGCCTCTCAAATAAATTGAAAAAATGAACAGCAACAACCAAAAAACCTTTAAAGAGTCCCCATCTGACTCAGAATAAAAGCCCAAGTCTTTATAATCCCAAATATGTTTTTTTTAATTTATTTGAAAGGCAGAAATACAATGAGATGGGGGTGGGGGGGGGGAGAGATCAATCTTCCGTCTGCTGGTTCATTCCCCAAATGGCTACAATGGCTGAGGTGGGTCCAGGCTGAAGCCAGGAGCTTCTTCTGGGTCTCCCACATGGGTGCAGGGGCCCAAGGTCTTGGGCCATCTTCCACTGCTTTCCCAGGCAAACTAGCAGGGAGCTGGATTGAGAGCGGAGCAGTCAGGACTCAAACCGGTGCCAATATGGGATGCCAGCACTGCAGGCAGAGGCTTAAATTTCTATTAGACAGCGCCGGCCTCCCCACCCCACCCCCTACGCCAAGTAAGTTGTTAGCAACCCCATCCCTCCCCTCTCAGTCCTCCCACTGGCCTCTCATTCCCCCAGGGACCTGAGTAACTGCTCTAACCCTGAAAGCCTCAAGGCCCCACTGCTCTCACCTATTTGCACAAACCTCACCTCATCACCCAGACCATCTTCCCTGTGGAAAACCCCCTTCTCTGCTCAGGTTATCTCTTATCACCATGTGACAGTGTACAGCGCTGGGTCTGTCCCCACCCCGCTGCCACTAAGCTGGAAGCTGCATGCAGGCAGACTTTGGTCAATCTGTCCCCTTGCTGTGCCCCCAGTGCCTAGCACACAGCAGGCAGGCAATACCCGCCTGCTGTCTAAATAAATGAACCACAGGAATGCTACCTAACATGGAGCCATGGCAGCATTTGGGGCTGAGGAAGATCTGGTGGAGGGGTGGAGAAAGAGACTGCAAAGAAGCACGCTTCCCAACAGTACCAGAGATGGAGGACCGGGTGGCAGCCAAGCTCCAAAATCAACTGTTAGGTGCCTGCTCCTATGCAGAGAAGGCAGTGTGAAGGCAAAAGCCCGAGACCCATCCCACTGACACTGGCAGTCACCTGCCATGGACATGGTCTACACCACTGCTTCTCTGCAGCAGCTCTGAGAACAACTGAGACTCGAGGCTTCCATATGAGCGGGGCAGCAAGCCACACACACCCTGAGCGTGGCCCAGGAGGCTCCAGACACGGTCCTCCTTCCAGGCCAGCAGCTGAGGTGCCCTCTCTGGATGCCGCATCGGCCTGGGTTAACTAAAGATTGCCAACTCCCATCAGGCTCCTCGCCAACATGATCCAACCTGGTGGCTCTCAAAGGTGTTCGGCTTAAGACCCAATTTCATCCCACGTAAATGACCCAGAGCACATGGTTCCATAACCAAAACAAGGTTTCTTAAGCCCTAATTGTCCCTAATATACACCAGTGTTTTCTAACCCTTGTTTATTCAAACAAAAAGTGCTGGTGACAATCCCCCAGAGTTGATTTTTACATCCCACTGATGGATCTGGACCTAAAATTTGAAAACCACTGATCTCACTAGTCTCCTTCTTTCTACCTCAGGTTATCCCAGAAACCGCCAGAATGTTTGTTTAAAAAAAAAAAAAAATCAGTTATCATTCCCTTGCTCAAAACCCTTTTACCCACCACGGGAAATAAAACCCAAACTCCCCTCCAGGGCCCGGGGCCCTACCTGATCTTGCTGCCGCCCTCCCCTCACCGTCTCACCATGCCCTGGCCTGGGCCACCCTTGCTAGGCCTCCAACAAAACAAGCCCCAGCCTGCCTCAGGACCTTGGCACATCACGGGTTTCCTCCAGGACTTTTCAAGGCCGCCTCCCTTTCACTATCCCCTGGAGCACGGCCTCCAGGTTCCTTGATCCCCCTGTGGTAAAGAATCGCCTCTGACCCTTGCCCGGCCACCACCCTCTTGGCGCTGTGTTGTTTCCTTACTGGTTCTCACCATGACCTGGCACTATCTGGCCTCACTGCTCAGGTTCTGCCGGGAGTGTAAGCTCCATGAAGGGCTCTCAGTGCTTCAGTTTGCTCAATCACAAAACGGGGTCATTAGGCTTACTTCAAGTTGATATGGAAATCATTAGATTCTTTTAAAAAAAATAAAAATAAAAAATCACCAGCCTTGATAAGGCTACAACAGCGCCCGGCACGAAGCACTCAGCCTAGTCCAAAGAATAATCTACATTTCATTTTCTCCTTAGCCCTGTAGACAAGGATTGATCCTCGCCGGTTGGAAAAAATGAGGAGACGGAGGTTGGGAGAATAATCTGCCCAAGGTCACAGTGCGATTCGGCTGCAGGAAATCAGGGCAAGAGCCGGGTTCAGCTGATGTCAACAGTGGCTCTGGCTCTTAAGGAAACACTGCACACCTCACCGGGAAAAGGCAGTATGGTACAGTGGGTAACAGGCTGGACTCCGGAGCACGACGCCGCAGGTTCAAACCCCACCGCCGCCGCTCAGCCTCTGAAACCCACCCTGGGTTGTGTGCACCCTTTCCTATTTTCATCCTTAAAACCGGAGAAACAAGAAATAGGGGCCCCCGACAGAACTGCAGTAAGGATTAAGAACAGCAATAGACGTGACCCACGGGAAGGTGTGTTGTTACGTGGCAACATGTTTTCTTCCGAGGCGAGAGGGCAGGGGCGTCACGGCCTCGGCCTCCCGGCGAGCCATCCGCGGCCCCCGAGCCCAAGCATCCTAACCCTAACACGACGGCCGTGCCTAGTCCGACCCCTCCTGGCCCCGAACGGCACGGCCGCCCAGCAGTTACTAAAGGATCGAGGAATGCCGGGCCGGGCCGGGGCCGATCGGGTTCAGCTGCCGGGAGGGCGCCCCGAGAGTCTCCGGGACCCTCCCCCTGCTCCTCGGGGAGGGCCGCGGGCCCCGAGCCGCCCCCAGCAGCGGCCAGGCCTCCTGGCGGGTGGTCAGGGCCCCCTCCTCAAGCCCACCCAGCCCGCCCGTGCAGCAGCCACGCCGGCCCGGCACCCGCTGCCCTCGGACAGGTGTTCCCGGCGCAGGAGAGCAGCCCGGGCGGGGCAGGGCGGCTGGACCCTGAGTCACCGCCGGCAGCTTCGGCCGCCGCCTCCCGGACTGCCGGGCCAGGAGGTGGGAGCTGGCGGGCAGCCGGGGTCGGCGGGGCGAGCGGTCCGTCCCTCCGGTCGGAATCCCTGGAGGCCCCCAGCCCCTCGGCGCGACGCGGGCCTCCCCGGCCTACTCGGGAGCCCAACGCGGGAGCCCACCTCGCGAGTTCGGCTCGGCTCACGCCGGGCCTGGGCGCAGGCGACGCGGCACTCACCTCTCCGCGGGGGCCGCGCGCGCGTTCGGCGGCAACGGCCCAGGGAGCCGCGGGCAGCAGAGGTGGCGGCGGCCGGGCTCTCTTCTCAGGGAGCGGCCATGTTGCTGGTGGAGAAACTCCTGGCGACACGTGGGGGGAGCGGGCCGGCCCTGGCGCTTCCTCTTTCCCACAATGCTCCGCCCCGGCGGCGCGGGCCCGCCCCCACGCCGCGCCGCTCTAGGAAGCCCACAGCCGGTCGGGCAGTAGGGGGCGCTGCCGCTCTCGCTAAACGGAGCTGCGCCAACGCGGCAGAGGCCGAAAAAAATATATTCTGGCAGCGGTGGGATTCGAACCCACGCCCCCGAAGAGACTGGAGCCTTAATCCAGCGCCTTAGACCGCTCGGCCACGCTACCGTTATGGGAGGGTGTGTTTCTTAGAAACTACTTAATAGCTCTGCTTGCCTCTGACTCAAAACTATTTTTAGTTTGTTTTTTTTTTTCAATTGATTTTTCACTTTACCCAACCCTGGTAAAATTATTTGAACTATGCTATGTATTCTCCAATATTCAGACTTGGGCTTGCTCTACAAAAACTGTAGAGTGAAAAGCAGTTTGAGACCCACCCTGATTAACCCGCACCGCCCGGATTAGCTGTCCCCGGGAGGAGGGACAGTAGCCCGCAGCAGGCCGGGAGGGCGCTGACAGGCACGGCAGAGATGGCCCGGAAAATGTGTGCTTCAATTTTTACTCACACCGCTATTACGTGGACGTCCAGACCGTCTGTGGATTTTAAGGCTATACATGGATTTGTATATATAAATATATAGATATATAGATATACACAGATACACACACATATATACACATCTCCTTAGGAAATTTTTTTTAATTGTGTGTAGGTTTTTAACTTAAATACAAAGTTATTAGTGTAGGTCTGCAATTGGCTTTTTTCAGCAGACTATATTTTTAATATCCATCCGTATTGATGTATAAATATTTAAAAATACAGAAAACTTATAAAGTAATCATCCATCTTCCCACCACCTGAAAGGAAATTAATTACTGTTAATATTGTGGCATTTTTGCTTCTGATTCTTATGTATTAGATTTGTATTAAAAGTTACAAGGTAATGATGTGAATATGTTGTCTTTATAAATCTGTTTTATAACATTACAAATTAAACCATTACAAATGAAAGTCAACCCCGTTTCCAAACATCTTCCCCAGCTGGTTATCATGAGTTTGATGTGTGTACTTCCAATAGTTTCTTATACTTTTTACATGTAAATATCGATGAATACTATACTAGTATAGTTTTCTGTAGTATAGTTTTCATTTCTATAAGTGCTACCACATTATACCAGTATCATTCTAAAACTTGTTTTTCTTACTCCAACGCTGCATTTTTTAGATCAATTATGATGCATATAGATTTAATTCACTCCATGCTATGAACAAATTTGTCTCTGAATTTTTGTCATTACATACAACACGGTACCAGGCTTGTTGTGCATGTGGGGTGATATTTCTCAAGGGTCTATGCTGGAGAAGGAATTGCTGAGTCATACATATACTTTTGCATTTTATTTAATATTGACAAAACCTATAGCAGTCGATGACTTTTCTCAGTTTTCTGCATCAGTTGGGTAAGTTTTGTGGGAAACAAAACACTTCACTTGATTTTTCACATGGATTGGTGTCGGAAATCTCAAATCTGCCTCACATCTGCACTCTTGTCCCCTTGGCATTCTTCATCATGTACCTTCCTTTCCTCGTTGATTCAGTGAACTTGAGACAGGCAGCAGCTCCACTGACGCTGGGCGTGGCTTTGACACATCCCCAACAAGCTGTGTGAGTCACACTTTTGTCATTAGAATTCGGGCTCTGTGTTGACCGCACAAAGCTTCTGGTTAACATCCAAGTTGGTCCGCACCCCTAACATTGGACCATTCCCTGTCTTTCTCTCCAATCCCCCCTCAGCCCCCTTTTGGTCTTCCATCCACCTAATTTAATATAGCTAATGCTAGGCAAAGATTTCATTGTTCTAGAAGGGTCTGTTGCTGTTAAGGGATTTTTTTTTTTTAAATCACAAAAGCTGCCATCTATGGAGGATGTGGGGTTTTTGTAGACCAGGGATTGTGGGGGATTCAAAACTAAATGAGGAATGCCCTTCAGACCAGTGGGAACATTCAGCTAGGTATTTTAGTACCGGGAGGGGCTGTGTGAGCTGTGTACTGCGTTTTCCAAAAGGAAGTATCCCCACAGTGTAGGATGATTGCTGGAATCTCCGCCCAGTCTCACCTCCCTAGGAGCTGTCCCTCTAGCTCAGTGTGTCCCTACCCGCCACAGCCATGGCTAGTGGGTTCCTTGGTGGATGGAGGATTCAGGTTGGACCGATCAGATTCTGTTTTGGGAATATGAAGTGAGACATGAGTTACAGGTTTCTTAATCTGACTATGCTGTGTTGGAATTGGTCTCTGAGGTGGGCTGAAACAAGACAGCCCATATACAGTGAGATGGCTCAGAGAGGTGGAGAAAGCCACTTCAGAGAAGAATGACAGTGAGGAGAAGGGCGGAGGCACAGAAGAGTATTGACAGCTTTCTGACTTCTAGCTCAAGACCCTTCCCAAGGCCCAGTGGGATCCCCAATCTTGGACACATCCCTTTATCACTGTGATGAACTCCCCTTTTCTGCTAAAGCTGGTGCCTCTGGATAGCTGTGAACAGCAACCAACATCCTGCTCCTTGTATGGCAAGGACTCCAATGAAACAAAAATTACTTCTTCCAGGACGTAGTACAGCCACTCGTGTGGGTCCTTCCCAACACACCCTTAGGACACCTGTTCATGCTGAGCAGGATGCCTAATTGACAGGGCGTCATCAAGGAGGATACAGGCTGACCCTGGAAGGCAGAGCCCAGAGCCCCATTCTGGGAGCTTCTTACAGTCCTGCAGCCCTGTTACCCCGTGTCTCACGACAATCACATGTGGGACCTTGAGGAGGAGTGAGTAGCGGATGTTGCAGCAGAACCCTGGCATCCACAGTGAGGGCAGGTGTGTCTACTGCTCTGCCCTGGCCAATGGCGGCAGGGAGAGGAGGAAAGAGCAAGCACCACAGATCAGACCGCGCCTGCTCGCCTGGCGCCCCTCCTGGCGGCTGTCAGGTGAAGGCCATCTATCGCCACAGCGTGAGCCCTAGGCTGTGGGATGTGGGAATGCAGGTGGGGGCTTAGCCCTGGGTCTCCGTTTTTTGTCCCCCTAAAAGGAAAACTAGCCAAAACCTGGTCTGAAACCCAATCCTCCTGCTTGAACCTCCTTGTAGAAAGAAATTAACACTCCTGATAAAATGCTGAATAGCGCTTTTCTTATGGCTGTAACGGCTTTGAGGTTTGTACTGGGAAGCTAGTTTCCCACCATTCAATTGACTGCCATTTGTCAGTCAAGAGTGCAATGACCTTTAACAGAATGTTCTTTTCTTTATCTTGTTGACCAAAGATTAGTCATTTTCTTGTCATGCAAAATGTCTCTACTGAGATAGAAATCAGAAGAGGAGTTACCCTTGGTGGGGTGTGAGGGGGCTGTATTGCCAGGAAGAGGCTCAGGGTGGTCTGCATTGTCCATGGGTGGTTGCTCAATGCAGGTGTATGTAAAAAGTCACCAGGCTGCAAATTTAATTGTGTGTGACGCTGTAATAAAAAGTGAATTTTTGAAAATTCCTTATTGGGTATGCATTTTTGAATTAAATTCCTAGTGGATTTACACCTGCAGCAGGACTGACATAAAATGTTGATTCATGTTGGCAACAAAATCATCTGAAAAAGTTTTCTTTAATATTTTCTCTAATATTCATGGCTCTTCTTTGCTTCCTCAAAGGAAATACTCTCACTGAATGGGAATCTGGTGGTGTTGGTTTTTTTTTTTTTTTTTTTTTTTTTTTGCTTTCCTAGCAAGCATTCCAGCATATTCTGACCCAAGTCTGATTTCCCTTTGTGGGATACTCCTTCCTGTGGCCTTAGAAGACCTGTTGATCAAATCGCTCAGTGGGCGGGCACAAGAGTCAAATTAGGCCAATCAGATGCTTTATCCTGGAACTCTTGACTCTGGATACCAAAGAATGATTTAGCTCAATTGCAGGGCCATGAGGGATTTCCAGGCTGCCTCCTGCTTCCTGCATCTCCACACTTTCCAAAGGCTGATTTGTTCCAGTTTTATCTTTCATCTGAAACTACTTCCAAAACAAAAATAAAGTAAACACACACACACACACACACACAAAACCTTCTTTGCTAAAGTTAACCTGCATTGATTTCTATTCCCTGTGACAAAGGAGCCCACAGGTGTGGGGAAAGTCTGACCCGCGGGCTGTATAAGGCTCATAGAATCACTCGGTCTGGCCCTGCCAAGGCAACCGCAGGGGGGACTCAAAATTCAATAAATGCATAGCAGGTATTTATTTTTATTTTTTTGATAGGCAGAGTGGACAGTGAGAGAGAGAGAGAGACAGAGAGAAAGGTCTTCCTTTGCCGTTGGTTCACCCTCCAATGGCCGCCACGGCCGGCACGCTGCGGCCAGCGCACCACGCTGATCCAAAGGCAGGAGCCAGGTGCCTATCCTGGTCTACCATGGGGTGCAGGGCCCAAGCGCTTGGGTCATCCTCCACTGCACTCCCAGGCCACAGCAGAGAGCTGGCCTGGAAGAGGGGCAACCGGGACAGAATCCAGCGCCCCGACCAGGACTAGAACCCGGTGTGCCAGCGCCGCAAGGCGGAGGATTAGCCTAGTGAGCCGTGGCGCCGGCCATAGCAGGTATTTTTAAAAGTTGATTAATTTTGTATGGTCTGTGAATGTTGTCAGAAATACCCAAAAGGTCCTGGGCAGAGAAAAGTTTCTACTGCACGCCCTGCCCGGGGCCCTCTGAAAAGGAACTTGGCTTACAGGGGAGACCACTACTCGGTCACTTTGGCTGGGGGTGGCCAAGGCATGAATGGGACATGGCAAACTGGGATACCTGGTGCTTTTACACCCTGGCCTCTCCAAGGGCCATCGGTGGGTCCCAGGGCAAGAAAGTGTGCTACTGCAATGCCCTGCTATCAAGCTGTCTATCCTGTCTGCACATCTGTGCCTGGCCAGGGAGACATACTGTGTGGACACAAATTAACAGGCTTCCCTTCTATGGTGCCCTTCAGTCCATTCCTGTTAAGTTTCAGTTTTGCAATCCTGGCGTGGTACAGACGTAGTGGTGGTGGTGTGTGTGATACTTTAATATCAGTTTTCTCATCTGTAAAACGGTCACAATAATTCTGATTTATAGCAGATTTGTGCAGAACTTGGTGTCTGACAGTCATCGTTCTTTCCAAGGCACATAATTTTTTCACATTTTAGTATCTCTAAAATCGACCTGCATCAAAACCAATGGCACACTTTTCAGTATTTTTTATTCATATATAATAAGATCAGTGGTGTCTTTTAAAAAATATTTATTTATTTGAAAGGTAGAGTGACAGAGAGGAGAGAGAGTGGTCTTCCATCTGCTGGTTCACTCCCCAATTGGCTGTAATGGCTGTAGCCGCACCAATCCGAAGCTAGGAGCCAGGAGCTTCTTCAGGGTCTCCCATGCGGGTACAGGGGCCCAAGGACTTGGGCCATTTTCTACTGCTTTCCCAGGCCATAGCAGAGAGCAGCATAGAAGCACAGAAGAGGAGAAACTGGGACTGACAGGCGTCCATATAGGGTGCCGGCACTGCAGGTGGCGGCTTCACCCACTGCGCCACAGCGCCACCTCTCCATGGAGTCTTGCACTAAGCACTAGAGTAAGGAGAATGCTGAAGACATAAATTACTATTAACAATTCTTTAATTTGGCAAATTTAATTTTGGATTCTTAGTAAATCTTTGGAAAACTTTATCAGAATTGTATATATGCATAGTATCAATTTGACAAGGCCTGTTATCAAAATTAGCCAAATGGCTATCCCCTCCCAACCACTTTCAACTTCTAGCTCATTCTTCTCTTCTGGTATATCTCCTCACATCTGAGCAACACACGTACATTACTGCTTTTCAAAAAGTATTATTTTAGGTCTTCCCACAATGGATGGCCAGGATTTAACCCTAATTACCCCACCCCCACCTCCACCAAACACCCTCCCAACGGAATCATATTGCAGTTTCTTTTATTAGTAGTAAATGCTATTCACAGGTTGGCTATGCACTGTACTGGAATTCCTTTTCCTTTTCTGGAAAATATCGTTTGCTTTATCGGTAATAACTGCCTTCTAAAAATGTACCTTATTTTTATGAATCATCCCTAATTCAACTTGAAACTGCCCATCTTTGCAAGATTGCCACAAAGGAGAGAACTTTTTTGACAAGTTATGTGTTGGAACAGCCTTTATCCTACCCTTATCTTTGACGTACACGTCTAGGTTAAAATCCATATTCCTCAGAATTTAGAAGTCAGCATCTTCCAATTTTCATTGTCATACTGTTGAGATGTCTGATGTGATACTAATTCTCCACCCTTCCTATGGGACTCCTTCTTACCCTCTGGAAGCTCCTATTGTCCCCAGTATTCTGAAACTTCGTGAAGATGATTCTCGAAGGTCAGATGGTATGGTTTTGGAAACACACCAGAGACACGTTCTTGATCTTGCTTGTAGGAGCGTCTCCTGTTTTCTCTATTCTCTTTCTCCAACTCCTAAGTTAGGATCCTGGACCTTGGTTGTTGTTGTTGCTGTTGAGTTTGTTTGCTTTAATTAGAACTATTTACACTTTTTCCAACAGATACTACTTTACAGAGACAGCTTGAATTCTTTGGAATTAATTTCACTTTCTTGTGGGGTGCTCTGGCCAACCTGTTTCTTTTGTTGTTTCCCTTTTTTAAAAATTTCCTTTCAGATAACATTTTAAATTTACATTATAAGCAAAGGCTTAATGGCTCCACCAAATAAAGAATTCAACAACAAAGTTAAAACAATCAAAGGCCAGAGGCCAGTGTTGAGATGCCAGACGTAGTGGCACAGCGGATTAAACTGCTGTCTGTTCCACTTCCAATCCAGCTCACTACTAATGTGCCTGAGAAAGCAATGGAATATGGTCCAAGTTCTTGGGCCTCTTTGGAGGCTCCAAATGGAGTTCCAGGCTCCTGGCTTTCGCCTGGCCCAGCCCTGGCCATTGTGGCAATTTGGAGTGAACCAGTGGATGGCAGATTTTTCTCTGTCCCTCTGTAATGCTGTCTTTGAAATAATAAAAAAAAAAAAAGACATCTTAAAAACACACATGCACACAAATAATAGGAAAAAAGAAACAAAGATCATAGCCCAGAAAAATAGCAAGGGCTATCAATAATAATCAAATGAAAAGATGCTCAAATTTTAAAAGAAAAAAAGTATTAGAACTATATTAGCAGGGCCGGGATTGTGGCATGGCAAGTAAGTAGGGCCTCAGCCTGCAATGCTGGCATCACGTATCAGCACCGGTTACAGTCCCAGGTGCTCCACTTCCAATCCAGCTCCCTGCTAATGCGCCTGGGAAAAGCAGCAGCAGATGGTCCAAGTGCTTGGGCCTCTGCACCCATGTGGGAGACCTGGAAGATGATCCTGGCTTCGGCCTGGCCCAGTGCTGCCCGTTGTGGCCATCTGGGGAGTGAACTGGCGGAAGGAAAAATCTCTTAACTCTTTCAAAATAAATAAATAAATCTTAAAAAAAAACAAAAAAACAAAAACCTATAGTAGCATATAATTCCTGTCATTTTGACAAGATTGAAAGCAAGTCTGCCACAAACAGTAGGCTGGTTGGTTTCATTCTGTGACAGCACCTCAGTCTTCCCTCTATAGCAGTCAGATGCTGTGGGATTTTCTCCAATTGTCTGGCTTCTGCCAAGGTGGTTAGAGTCCTGCTGCTGGTGTCTGGGACCACAGAGAGAAAAGGCTAGGGGAACCTCTACATTCAATCCAGAAACTTCCATTTAATTGAGTGGCCTCACTTGCTAAGCCTGGGGTTCCAAGCTCCAAGCAGGATGGAGAGGCAGCTGGCTTGCTAAGCAAAGGAAGTGAGCAGCCCTAATGGTCTCCAGCTGATCCTTTTTTTTTTTTTTTTTTTTTCACTTGAAAGGCAGAGTTATAAAGAGGCAGAGGTAGAGGCAGAGAGGTCTTCCATCCACTGGTTCAATCCCAAAATGGCCACAATGGCTGGAGCTGGGCCAATCCGAAGCCTCTGGTCAGAAGCTTCTTCCAGGTCTCCCACACGAGTGCAGGGGGCCAAGTCCTTGGACCATCTTCTACTGCTTTCCCAGGCCACAGCAGAGAGCTGGACCTGAAGTGGAGCAGCCAGGACTCAAACAACTAGTGCCCATATGGAATGCTGGCACCACATCCTGATTCTCCACTTTTAGCCCCATTTTGTTTCCGCTTCCACAAGTTCCTAGCATTGTGGGATTTCTTTGGGTTGTTTCCCAGATTCCCTACTGTTGACCTAGGATCCAGCCCTCTGGAGTCCTCTAATTCAGTTTTCTCCACTGGCTTTCTAGTACCCAAACTTTTTTTTTTTTTTTTTTGCTGACTCCTCTTTGTCTTTATTCTCACAGGTTTATGCTGTTTAAAAAAAACAAAACAAAACAAAACAAAAAACCTTCCTAGGCCTAAACATGTGTGTCGAATCTACCATGCATAGTCAACAGAGATGTTCAAATTTCTTAAAATTAAAAAATGACTTGCTTAGAACCAGATGATCCTGGCAGTAACCAACCAGTGAAGCTAAGGACAACCCTGTAATGGTAAAGATTATTCTGTCTTATAGATGAGCAAATCAAGAAACGAGAGGTTCACGGATTGCATCTACGGATTCTGATAGCACACAGGCCCCATCTGGAAGGCTTTATTAGAATGTATCACAAATTTTAAAAATCAGGAGACAGCGCATAAGAAATATCCTGATTTTCAGCAGGTCTTGAAACATCAGAAACTGGGGTGATGCTGGGGCTACTCTTCCCTTGGCTACACTCACTGGAAGCGGAATCATGGCTGCCCCTTCTCAGTGTGCCTCTGCCTCCAGCCAGCCACATTTTTTTTCTCTCTTAAACCAGGAAACATTTGAACTTGAGACAGAAAAGAAAGAAACCACTTTATTTGGAGGGACAAAATGGAACTCAGAACATAGGCAAAAATCAAACTGTCCGGCAAACTGTTCCCTAGATGTTACCCAGCGTCCATCTTGAGTGGGCTGAGTGGTTCCCTCAGAAATGAGAGAGGCACAAATCCAGGTGGAGAGTGTGCGTATTTTGTCTCCTCTTTCCCCAATCCCATCGAAGCTGCATGTATCCATGCCAACACCTGTAGGACGCCTTTACTATGGCAGACAAGTTTGTCAAAGTCAAATTTGCTACAGTCTCAGTGTCCCAGGTGAAGGAAGTGGGGACGGGATACTCAGAAATTTGAGGTTTTTTTTTTTCCTTTCTCATATCCCTAAAGTCTTTTCCTCTTATCTAGAGTAAAACTGAAAGTTTCACTTCAAACTGTATTCCCTGCATTTGAACAGCTCTCAAATCCTAAACCTGGTGAAGCTTTTAGCCGGTAGTATCACCTCGAGAGAAACCTACTTCTGGAACCTTGGTTTTGCCATCTATGGAATGAAGGCACCTGATGGGACATTATGGCTGTTAACCTCCTGGATTTTCACTTGCTTCTTGCATCTGAAGATTGTCTCTGAGGTCTTCCTAGTTGGGCTGGACTATCCTCGATTTGCTCTCTCTTTCTACATGCCCAGCATTTGTGTTAAACGAAGAGGTCCCATCCAGTGTTAGAAGGCACACAATTAGGTATTGAAGGTAGAATAAAATTCTTCCGCTGGCTCAGAGGGATCTCAACATCTTGTAAGTTACTTTTATACTCTCCAGGGTCCTTCCAGAAGCATCGGCTTAGCTGACCACCTGCAGCATTCCAGCCTCCTGGAGGAGGAAGGAGCCACCTCCCAATGGGAAGCCATGGGATCGATCACAGGGTGGGGTGGTGGGTCAAGCCAGTCCAGACAACGAAGCATGAATTGGCTGGAGGCAACAGAATCTGTGAGTGCCTTTTTACATCACCAGCAGGGCTGAGCGGATGCAGCACAGGGCGAATGGCCTGCAAAGCCTAAAATCTTTACTATCTGGCCCCTTACACAATAGTCTGCCGATTCCTGCTAGAGATGATAAAGAACAAGGACATGAAGATGATGTTCGGGAACATAAATATATTATAACAAAATCTGCACAGATTCTATGAGCCTGATTACTCTGAAGAGCCAAGTCACAATAAAGTTGCTTCTTATACTTCACATGTGCGATTTAACTGTAGACACTGGTTTAAAACACACACACACACACACACACACACACACACACACAAATGATCGCAAGCCAACTAACTCATCTGGTACAGAAGACAAAATGGTGATGAGTTCTAACTTCTCAGGGAATTTCTGGGTGGCTGAAGGACTTTTTCAAGAGGAATTTTGACTCTGTTTGATTTTCTTCCTTTATGGGCACACCTCCTGACTCTGGACTCTAACGCCTGTCCAAGTTCATTACTCCGTAGCGTTCAACGCTGAAGCATTGAAAGATCTCTCTTAATGAGCAGGTAAGAATGGCTTTGTATGCTACACCCTGCATTTTGTGTCTCTGAATTCAAAGAAAGAGGCTGCTCTAGCTTTTGGGCTTGATCAAAGCCATCTGTTTTCTTTGCTCTTTGAAACTGAAGTCTACTAACATTCAGTCTGGACTCTTTTTATATGAAAAGCACATTAAATAAAGACAACTGTAGCCTGACCCTGGGGAAATTGACTGGGATTAATGAGTGTTTACAGTTCTTGGCCTCTCATTCTCAAACTGCTTAGCAAAACCTCAGGGGGTTGTAGCTGAAAGCATCCGGCTGCAAATGATAAGAAAACCCACCCAGGCTCAAGCAGAAAATCCGAAGGCAGTTGCAACCCCCATCTTTGCACGGAGAAAGCCTGGAGCCATGCTAGCCGTAGGTGTCAGGTGTCGGAGGTAGTCAGTGTGCGCATACAAACAGATCTGTTTTGTGAAGTCCACGGTGGAAAGCACTTAGAAATGGAATTTAACTGTGTGTCAGAAAACCACTCAGATTACAGGAGGAAATTAAACTAAAAGATCAGAAAACTTGAGCCACGTGCTTCCAGAAGCTCTGAGGAAGAAGGCTCCAGGGCATGTCCTGACGACGCGCGCTCCGCAACAAGCTCACGTGCAGGTCTCCAGCAGCCCCTGTTCTGCCTGACCAGAGATGGGGCTCTGGGGCCTGAGATTTCAATCCAGCCTGAAATACCTGGGGAGCAAAGCCCTCACATTGTCTCTCCGAGGCAGAAAAGCAATTACTAACATGACATTAAAAAAAAAAAAGATATAATAAAAAATAAAAACAGAACCTCAAAATAACAGGTCAGCTCATTGGGCTGCTTCTTCAATCCCCGCTCCCCCAGAACACTGCCCTGTGGGACAGCTGTAGCGTCTCTGCAAACAGCAAAGACAACCTCAAGAGTCAAAAAATGAAATACAAAAGCTGATTTACAACATACTAAAAATAATACCCTCCCTGAAGTAATTAAGTCTTTTTTTTTTTCCTCCTGGCCCTTTTGCTTGTGACCAGGGTGTGAGTTATTCCTCCATCTGGGCCCAGGCCTCCTCTGCCTTCTGGTAGTACTGGTTGGCCAGACGGCCCTTCATGGCTTCCATCGCTGCCTCGGCCGCCTGGGTGTACAAGTCCCCTGAAAGACAGCAAAGCAGGGCACAAAGAGGTGAGCCACCTGTTGCTTTAGTCAGTGCAGTGTCCCCGACCCTTCCAGGAAGAGCAGCCTGAGTTTTCCCTAGGATCTCAAACTGCGGCTCTGGCTCTCTCCCTCTGCCTGATAGGTCTGACACCTCACAGGTGGGCGTGTGGTCACACCTGGCCAATCAGAGCCCTCTTCTGCCCCTCTTTGCCCTCCAAACTGCAAGGATTGGTTAAGAGTTAGGCGTGGCCAACCAGAGGAAGTCATTTCAATGACCACAGTGATTGGTTTAGAGGTGGGTGAGTGAAGCAGTTTAAGCCAATAAGAATCAGGCTGAGGACTTTGACAGAACAGACTTATGAAAGTGGAAGAATTAAAAGACTATAAGCAGCTTCATGTCAGCTCAGAGAACAGGTTCTGCCACCAAATGAATTTGTGCAAAACTTACAAAATCACTTTTGGTTTTCAGAGCTTCTTGGATTTAGAAATTTCAAGTCGGAGGTTATAGATTTGCATTATTATTTGCTAATTTTTAAAATACAACTCTGCAGCTTTTTAAACCTAGCCTATGAAATCCGATGCCTGTGAAACCAGGAGTTTAGTAGGGTTATTACACATGAGGGACTGAGTATTCATGTCCCCCCCAGACTCCTGTCACACAAATTCGTAGGTTGAAGCCCTAATCCACAACGTGACTGTATTTGTAGACAGGTCTTGGAGAAGGTGACAAGTTAGGGAGGGCCTAAGAGTGGGGCTCGAATTGCACTGGGCTGGTGCCCTTCGAAGAAACAGCAGAGCTGTCTCTCTCTTTCCACTACGCACAGAGGAGAGGTCATGGGGGGACACAGTAAGAAGCTCGCTGTCTACCAGCACCCTGGTCACGCACTTCTCAGCCTTCAGCTCTGAGAGAAATCCATTTTTGTTGTTTAACCAACTCCGCCTATAGTGTTTTCCTGCGGCAGCCTGAGCACACTAACACATTATGCAAAAAATATTTACTTTGTCCATCAAGCAAGAGTGGAGACGCAGAAGGTGGTCTATCCACGCACTGGCCTATTATTTGACAATAAAAAGGAAGAAGTACTGATACATGTTACAACACGCAGAAACCTTAAAAACACTATGCCAAGTGCAAGCAACAGGCCATGTATTCTATGATTCCATTTGTATAAAATGCCCAGAATAGGTAAATTCATCGGGGCAGAAAGTATATTCATGGTTGCCAGGGATTGTGGGACAGCATTGGGAGTGACTGCTAACCTGGGTGGGGTTTCTGTTTGGGTGACGACAATGTCCTGGAATCAGAAAGGGGTGGTGGTTGAACACCATGAATACACAAAAAACCACTCAACTGTATGCTTTAAGATGCTGGAATTATACCATATGAAATCTCTTAACTCATTTTTTTTTAGTTAAAAAATAAAAAACAGCCCTAATGTACAGTCATCCTTTGGCATTCACAGGTTCCTGGACCGCTGTGGATACCCAAGTCCCTTCTATAAAGAGTATTTACAGCATCTGTTAATAACTATGCACATACTCCAGGATACTTTAAATAATCTCCAGATTCCGTGTAGTACCCAATACAATGTGTTACACTGTCGTTTAGGTAACGGTGACCAAAAAAGAAAAAAAAAAAAAACTACATGTCCAGGACACAATTTTTTCTGAAATGTAAAAAAATGTAATTAAATATATTTATTTGAGAGGTATAGGAACAAAGAGAGACAGGAAGAGAAAGAGAGAAAGAGAGAGAGAGAGAAAGAGCTGGCTCCCATTTGTTGATTCACTGGCCTGAAATAGCCAGGGAAGGGGCAGGATAGGGCAGGGCAGGGCCATAGTGGGGTAGCTGGGAATGAAATCCAGGTCTCCCACATGGGCGGCAGGAAGCCAAGTAACTTGAACTATCACTGCTGCCTCCTAGAAGCTGCATTAGCAGGAAGCTGGAGTCAGGAGCCAGAGCTGGGCACCAGACCCAGACACTCTGATACGGGATGTGGGGCTCTAAACTGCAAAATTAAACACCTGCTCCTGAATACGTATGATCTGTAGTTGGGAGCTACAGATGTGGAACCTGTGGGTACAGAGGACCAATTCCGTGACCGTTAAAATCAAAACGTTTATCTGCAGACCAGCTCCACAGAGGCCCCTCCTGGGAGAACAGACTCACCTCAGTGTCTTGTCCTAATTCCCCATGGTTGTAGCAGTAACATCCCCCTACCCAGCCCCATCCCACCGCAGGAGCAGGTCCGGCAGACCCCACCTGATCTCTGCGGGTCCTTGTCCAGGCCACAGCCGCCTGTGAACAGCATCTCAGCCTCTCTGGCCAGCAGTGTGTAGCGGGGCTCATCTTGCACGCCGTCATACTCCCCGCCCTCATCGCAGTCCGTCATCTCCAGGGCGGAGTTGTACCAGTGCAGGGCCTCCTGCCAGTCTCGGCTCCTTGCCAGGAGACACAGAGGGACAGAGTTGATGTTACAGTGGCAACGGGCAGGAAGCTGGAGGGCCATCTAGCAGAAGGGGTAAGTTCCAGGATCCCCACGGGGCCACCACCTCCCAGAGCTCCCAAGGTCGCTGTGTCTAAGGGCCATCTTTGTACTGTGCGTTTACTGTCTCATTAGGAGAGCAGCCAAATCACTTCTTGGTCTAGCACAGTTCTCCAAAGATGGAAGTGGGGCTTCTTGAGGAAGGGCCTTTTTCTAGACTGCATGAAAACACCTCACAGACTGGCATCAGCAGTGGCTGGGGGACCCAGCTAAGCTGCCCTGTTGCTTGGGTTTGAGATGGGGTGGGTAGGGGACCCTCAACAGAGGTCCCCAGAACAACTGGAGCCAACAGCAATCACCTGACCCCATTGCACACTCTGTCCCCCAGCACAGTGTGGAGCTCACCCATCTACTTGCGTGGCCCTCCTAGCCCGAGCTCTTCCTTCTAACACAGCCCACATATGGCCAAGTCACCACCGGTATAGGTGGGTGCCAGCCAAACCCACACAACATAAAATATAGAGCAAACAGGGCAGTAGACTCTCTTCCTTTGAGTGTAAACTGTGGGAATAGCTATTTAGAGTGCATCAGGAAAGAGCAAAGGGAGAGACACATACAGAAACTTCTCGAGACTCCTGACACCCTGTGGGAGCAGCAGCGTGGCTGACTTGCTGTCCTTTCCCCATGGTCACGGCCTCCCCTGACATCCATCTGATCAGGCTCTGGCCTCTAGGCTCGGCTGCTGTCAACCTCCCTCCATGACGCTGCTATTCCCCAAACACACCAGCTCCTGCCTGCCCTTGGCCTTCGCACCTGCTGTTGCCGTGCCTCGGAACACTCTTCCTGTGACTCCACACAGGCTCCTCACTATTCCAGTCTCAGCCCAGATGTCACCTCATCAGAGACACTGTCCCCAGACAACCTGTTTCTCACCATCACCACAATCTTTAATTCTCCTTGTTCACTTGTTTACTGGGGTCTCCCCCAATTAGAACGCAAGCCCCAAGAAGGCAGGAGCCTGGTCCATTTTGTTTACTGCTGCAAACACAGCAGGTTCAGTAAGTGTCTACTGATGAATAAATGTAAACAAGTAAGAGGTCGGCACTGTGGCAAAAAGGGTTAAGTTACTGCCTGCGACGCCAGCATCCCGTATGAGCATTGGTACAAGTCCCAGCTGCTCCACTTCTGATCCAACTCCCTACTAATGCGCCTGCAAAAGCAGCAGGAGTTGGCCAAAGTGTCTGGGCCCCTGCCATCCAAGTGGAAGACTGGGTAAAATTCTAGGCTCCTGGCCTCTGCCTGGCCCAGCCCTGGTTGTTGTGGTCATTTGGGGAGTGAACAAGCGGATAGAAGATCTCTCTTTCTCACCTTCTCTCTCTCTCTGTAACTCTGTCTTTCAAATAAATAAAATATGATTTTAAAAAATAAGGTTTGTGGAAAAAAGGGGCCAGTGTTCTGCGGCAGCAGGTTAAACTACTACTTGAGATGCTGGCATCCCATATCAAAGTGCTGGTTTGAGTTCCAGCTGCTCTGCTTCCAATCCAGCTCCCTGCTAATGCACCTGGAAGGCAGCAGCTGATAGTCCAAGATCTTGGGCCTCTGTCACCCAATTGGGAGGCCTGGCTGTAGTTTTGGGCTCCTGGCTTTGGCCTAACCCAGCCCCAGCCATCTGGGCCACGAACCAGCAGGTGGAAGACCTGCCCCCCCCCACCCCAACCCGCTATTTCTTCCTTTCAAATAAATAAAACAAATCTTTAAAAGCAAGTGTGTGAAAAATGGAATTAAAATATGCTTATTTTAGTGCAAATCTGAAGCCCATGCATAGTTTTTTCATGATTCCCACTTTCCAAAAGCTTTCTGACTCCTCATACTCCCATTTTACAACATGAAAAAACTTAAGGTGAGGGAAGTTAACTAATTCACCCGTGGTCACTGGACTGGTGGGGGGGTGGGGGGATTCTAGACCAGAACCCAGGTCTGTCTGGACCTTGCAGGAGAAGCACGCAGCAGCAGCAGCCCCGGTTCCCAGCAGCTCCACCTGGGTGACAGCCACAGTACCTTTCTGGGCTGAGGTTCTGACCGGTGTCAAAAGCTCGTGCCACCAGGATCATGGACTGTCTGTCACCAGCTTCAGCTGCCTTCAGTAAGTAGTCGAACCCTTTCGTTTTATTCTCTTTCGTGTCCTGTCATTTCAAACCAGAGAGGAGAGAAGAAAAGCAAATGAGGCTCGCAGAAGAGGCTACCAACCGCTCACCCATCAATCTCCTCCCCACTCCTTGACTTATTTCAAGAGCTCTGGGCTGGGATCGCTGTAGGAGTGCACATCAGTGGTTTTTAGTATATTTACAGAATTGGGCAACCAGCCCCACAATTTATTTCAGAATATTTTCATCAACCCCCAAAAGGGAATTCCCACACCCCCTAACTGTCAATCATCCCTCACTCCCAAATCTCCCCAATTCTGCCTCGCCCTAGCCAACAGCTGCCCTATGGGCCTATCCTAGACATTTCACATAAAGGGCCTCATGTAACACATGGTCCTTTGTGCTTGGCTTCTACCTCTAAGTGTGATGTTTTCAAGGTTCATCCATGGTACACCATGTGTCAGCACTTCATTCCTCTTGATGGTCGAGTACTATTCCAGTGGATGGGCCTTTTATTTTTTCATTCACACATGGATGGACATTAGGGTTGCTTCTGCTTTCTGACTAATAGGAATAATGTTGCTTCAAACATTCACATAACGAACATTTCTGTGGCTACGTGTTTTTATCCTCATGAATACAGATACGGCTGACTGAATGGAATTGCTGGGTCATAGCCTTTTCAGGAGCTGCCTGCCTGTCTTCTAGTGGCTGTACCACTGGACATTTCCACCAGCAGTGTAAGGGGCTCCTGCTTCTATCCTGCTCCCCCACGATCTGCCCCACAGCAGCCAGAGAGATGCTGGCCAAAGCCTGCCAGGTCACTTCACTCTCTCAAGCTCCTCCATGGCTTCCTGTCTCACCCAGAGATAAATCCAAAGCCCTCGTGTTGGCCTGTGAGGCCCTTCTCAACCTTCAAGCTTTGAAAAGTATGGCAGGGACCCCTGCTGTTACTCTTCTTCAGCCTCCCCCAATATGAGCACTGATTTGAATTCCAGCTGCTCCATTTTCAATCCAGCTCCCTGCTAATGTGCCTGGGAAGCAGCAGAAGATGGCCCAAGTGCTTGGGCCCTTGAACCCATGTGGGAGATTCAGAGCTCTAGGCTCCTGCCTGTTGCCACCATTTGTGGAATGAACCAGACAATGGAAGCTCTCTGTCTCTCTCTCTCTCTGTAACTCTACCTTTCAACTAAATAATATTTTTTAAAAAAGTCTCTGGGGCAGATGCTGTGGTACAGTGAGCTGAACCACTGCCATCCCACATGGGACTGCCTGGGACTGTGTCCCAGCTCTGCTTCCAGTCCAGCTTCTTACTGATGGACACCCTGGGAGGCAGCAGATGATGGTTCAAGTACTTGGGTCTCTTAGACCCATGTGGGAGACCAATGGAGTTCCTTGCTCCTGGCTTTGTCCTTGCCCAGCCCTGGCTGTTGTGGGAATTTGGGAACTTAACAAGCAAATGAAGATCTCTCCTCTCTCTGCTTTCCCAATAAATAAAAATAAAGAAACTGTATAAAAAACTGTCTGGGGCTGGCGCCACAGCTCACTAGGCTAATCCTCTGCCTGTGATGCCGGCACCCCAGGTTCTAGTCCCGGTTGGGGTGCCAGTTCTGTCCCGGCTGCTCCTCTTCCAATCCAGCTCTCTGCTGTGGCCCGGGAAGGCAGTGGAGAATGGCCAAGATGCTTGGGCCCTGCACCCACATGGGAGACCAGGAGGAAGCACCTGGCTCCTGGCTTTGGATCGGCGCAGCGCACCAGCCATAGCAGCCATTTGTGGGGTGAACCAATGGAAGGAAGACCTTTCTCTCTGTCTCTCTCTCAGTGTCTAACTCTGCCTGTTAAAAAAAAAAAAAAAAGACCTGTCTGGGGACTAGCACTGTGGAGTAGTAGGTAAAGCCATCACCTCATATGAGTGCCAGCTCTTGTCTCAGCCGCTCCACTTCTGATCCATCTCCCTACTAATGGCCTTGGAAATGCAGCAGAAGATGGCCTAAGTGTTTTGGCCCCTGCACCCACATGGATGACCCTCATAAAGCCCTGGCCATTGCAGCCATCTGGGGAGTAAACCAGTGGATGGAAGATCTCTCTCTGGGGAATGAATCAGTAGGTGGAAGCTGTCTGTCTGTCTGTTTGCCTGCCTCTCTCTCTCTAACAAAACAAAACTGGAGATACTGCTAAATGTCACTGTGGGAAGGAGGAGATGGAAGCCCCTGGCTAGGACCACCCAGCTGCACACTTGGCTGCAGCAGCACACACACTAAAACTTGAGTAACAGAGAGGTAAGCTTGGTCCCCGTGCCAGGAAGGCACCCAAATCTGTGAAGTCTTACTTATTCTTTATGGACGGGGGAGGGGATAAGGGAGGGGAGGTAGGTGAATGACCTCCAGGGCAGGTAGATGACGGACTGACAGAACTCCCGACCATAACTGGCTCCCCCTGACCCCCTCACCTTCAGAGACACGTCGGCCAGGATGTGGTGGGGCAGCTGTGAGTACATGAGGCCCAGGCCCACGATGGCTTCCAGCTCACCCAGGTCGGCCGCGTGCTCCAGATGGAAGACGGCCGACTCGCGGTCCCACTCCTCATCCCTGTCGCAGAATCGCCCGCCCTCGTGGTAGCGCACCATGGCCAGATGGACCTGCCGCACAGACTATGCTGTTGGCCTGGCTGTCAGGGAGGCCAACGCAGCCCCAAGAGCCGCCCAACCCACCTGCAGGAAGAAGCAATTAGCAAAGGAGAGGCGTGGGCGGGGGGCTCCAGCTGAGTGCCAAGGGCTCTGAAGTGGGTGGCACCGTTACCTTTCCCAAAACAGACTTCCCGATTTTCCTTTCCAGGTCCAGAGCGTTGAGCCTTTGTACTTCGAGGGCCACTGCCGAAGCCCTGGGCAGATGGAGGCGGGAGGGGTTGAGCAGATTCCATTTCTCCACGCAGACCTGCAGGAGGAGATGGGACAGGGTGGAGCTGACGGTTCAGAGAGGTGCGGTGCCCTGGGGTGGATGTGCCCACAAGGCTGTCGGCGGCCCCTTCCCTGCACAGGAGTGCGGCCGGCAAGAGAGAGGGGAGCAAACCCTTACAGCATTGGATGCTATGAGTTCTCATCATCCAAATTCCATCAGCTCCTGGGCGCTAAGAGATCGCAGCGACAGGATGCATGGTTAGCAGCAGCGGCTACCGCAGCTCAAACAAATGTCAGCCCCGTTCATCCAACTGGGTTTAGTTATGGGGTTTGACCCTCCACCACTTGCTTTGCCTGTTCCCCACACAAAGCACTGGGAGAGTCTGACTTCAGACCTCTTGGCCAATCCACTCTGTTATCCTCTAAGAATCCCCACAATGCCTTGGCCAACACCGACAAGTGGACTCAGAAGATAGGCTGAGAAAACACACCATTTCTCCCAGCCAAACACAACCCTGTCCAGAGTCCAGCAGCTGTGTGCACACACCTGTACACTAAACATCCAACCGCACACAGAGCAGCCTGCACAAGACAGTGTTCTGGGAGGGAGAAGCCAGACCCACTGGGGTGGTCAGGGAAGGTTCTGGAGGAGGTGCCACTGGAGTCCAGGCCTGGAGCGCAGGTAGAATTTGAGGAACACCCAGAGGGGAGACTTGTGGGTGGGAGACTTGCCTGGCAAGGGCTCACAGGTGGGAGGTTTCCAAGTGCATTTGTCAGCTAGAGAAGAACATGTAGGGTACGAGGCTGGCCCTGCCCAGACTTGCTCAATGAGAATCATAATCTGAGATGCTGGTTAGACACAGGCTGAGCATCCCTAATCTGAAAACCCAAACCCTGAACTGTTTCACGATTTAAAGCTACTCGAGTTCCAACATGATGCTACACGTGGAAAATTCCACAGCTGACTTCACGGGTTGAATCGCACTCAAGGTGCAGGTGCAGTGAACATACTGTATAAAATCACCTTCAGCATATGCATAAAGGGACTTCAAAAAGTTCATGAACGGGTGGGCATTATAGCTCAGTGAGTTAAGCTGCCACCTGGGACACCTCCATCCCACATGCATCCCATATCAGAGAGCCTGGGATCAAGCCTCAGCTCCACTTCCCATGCAAATTCCCATGAATGTGCGCCCTGGGGAGCAGCAGATGATGGCTCAAAAACTTGGGCTTCTGCTATCCATGTGGGAGACCAAGAGGAGTGCTGGCTCCTGGCTTCAGCCTGGCTTAGCCATGGATGCTATGGGCATTTCGGCAGTGAACCAGCCAATAGATCGAAGATTCTCTCTCTCTTCCCTCCTATTCCTCCCTCCCCCTCTGTTGCTCTGCCTTTCAAATAAATAAACAAACTTTTTTTTGTTTTGTTTTAAAAAAAGCAAATAGAATTAAAAGCTAAGTTTAGGGTCCGGCACTGTGGTGTAACAGGAAAAGCTGCTGCCTGCAGTGCCAGCATCCCCTATGGGTGCCGGTTTGAGACCCAGCTGCTCCACTTCCGATCCAGCTCTCTGCTATGGCCTGGGAAAGCAGTGGAGGATGGCCCAAGTCTTTGGGCCCCTGTACCCACATAGGAGACCCAGAAGTAGCTCCTGGCTCCTGGCTTCAGATCTGCACAGCTCCAGCCATTGCGGCCAACTGGGGAATGTACCAGTGGATGGAAGACCTCTCCCTCTCTCTCTTTATCTCTCCCTGCTTCTCCTTCTCTCTGTGTAACTCTGACTTTCAAATAAATTAAAATTTTTTAAAAAAAAGCTAAGTTTAGGGGCTGATATTGTGGCATAGCAGATAAAGCCTGCAATAGAAGATGGCCCAAGTCCTTATGCCGCTGCACCCATGTGGGAGTCCTGGAAGAAGCTCCTGGCTTCAGTCTGGCCCAGTTCCTGCTGTTGCAGTCACGGAGTGAATCAGCAGATGGAAGATCTCTGTCCCTCTCTGTGAGACTCGAGAGAGACTCTGCCTTTTGGACAGTGAGAGAGAAAGACAGAGAGAAAGGTCTTCCTTTTCCATTGTTTCACCCCTCAATGGTCGCTGTGTCCGGCGCACCACGCTGATCCGAAGCCAGGAGCCAGGTGCTTCTCCTGGTCTCCCATGGGGTGCAGGGCCCAAGCACTTGGGCCATCCTCCACTGCACTCCCGGGCCACAGCAGAGAGCTGGACAGGAAGAGGAGCGACCGGGACAGAATCCGGCGCCCGACCAGGACTAGAACCCGGTGTGCCGGCGCCGCAGGCAAAGGATTAGCCTATTGAGCTGCGATGCCAGCCGTAACTCTGACTTTCAAATAAATAAATAAGTCTTTAAAAATAAATATAAC